GGTACACTATTGCTCCCGCTGTAGGATATACGATGTTGCCGAAAGGTCTTACTCTACACTCCGTTGTACACTAGCTCTTTTTTTATGCTGTACGCGCAGTTTGGTTTAAACAATTAATTTAATGTATAAACAATGAACGATCGCGTTTAAGAGCAATTAGGTATGTAGTGTGGCGTGTAAAAATGTGGTGGGTTAAGTAAAAAGTTGTCGTGGATATCACAATCACCTTTTCCTATGAAATTCCTCTTCTAAATTCACTCCCTTTTTCCTCACTTAATAAACGCTCGAAACAACCAACTCTGGATACTCTATTTGTGCGGTAAATTTAGAAAACTGATATATTTGCACCCTTTCGTTAGATTCTCACCCTGCGTGTCAAACCTCATAATCGCATCCTTATCACTAACTTTTCTCTACCGATTTGATCATATTTCTTTAGTGCACTACTAATTACACACATGACGGGCATGACTCTATCATAATCCATAAATTATCGATCTAAACAAACCAATCCTGCAACGTTTAAAAATATCAATATTCTGGGCACTAAAGATCCATAATTAACATTTATTCAGGTTGCGGTTCATAGGATACATGATGATGCTTCGTCGGCAGGCCATTTTTCCGTTACGTAGCAGACTTCCTTATCAATATCAATCGATAAGGAATCTAAGTTACTCGGGAAGTCTACTACGCATTGAAAGAAGGGCTGCACCCGTTCACACAGTCGTATCGTACAAATATGCCCACATACATGATGCTGCAAACTCTCGTCCACAAGCCGAATGCGCAAATTATAATTATGTGCAATAAATTTGTCGGATTATCTTTGCACATCTGCGCCTGTCTCGAGCCGATTACAATGTTGTCAAGAGTGATCTAGGCGACGGGCTTGTTCGGCTTTTCCCGCTCCGAGAGCTGCTTAAGTTCTTCACAATGAAGTAGTTAGCCGCAATGAGTGCCAAAGTAGCCGCAGTGACTACCGTGAAGCCGCTTTGTACATCCGAATCGTGAATTTTGGTATTGTTTTAAGCAGATTTCAGCCCTAACTATACAAGCGGCGCCCTTTGTTCGTAGATGATGTGAGGGAGGACTTTAGGGACCTTACAAAAGCACGAAAGCCGAGATAAAAAGTGTGATATTTTTATTGATGTTTAGAAGTGTTAGATCGTAGAAGTAGCGTAAATTAGTTTGTGGTGCTTTGTAAATTGCACGTAGATGACCTCGAAATGACAATGTTTCACCTCCTTACGGCCACCCCTTACGATATCGCATGATTGGACAGCCATTTAATGAAGGATGAGCCTTCATTTGCATAATAGCCTCAATTACGAGATCCATGTCACATCGCCCCGTAGGTACGTTCTCTTTTTTGTGAAGTGCAACTTCGATAGAGAAGGTGCGGACTTGAGGTAAGGGGTAGAAATAAAGCCACTTATAACCATTCTATGCAGAAGATGAGTATGCGTAATAAAATGTAATCGCGAGCCCGAAGGGTGAAGCTATAAGTGACCGTGCGCAAGGTTGAATGCCGAGCTTTTGAATCGTACTTACCTGTGCGTCTGTCTGTAAATAACGCGGTTAGTTTTACATAGCCCGTACCAAGTAAGATCTAGCTTGTCCTCCCTCATAGTTCGATTGGCCTGTTAGGTGCAACGCTTAGGCTTGGTCACTATTGTGAAGCACGCATGTGATTGGCTTGAGATCGATCAAAGGTGAATGCATGATCAGGTAATCTAATTCCGGACGCTCATAAGCAAAAGCTGATCGCGTTGACAGTACTGGACAATTCTTACATTAATATCATCATACTCCTTCTTCAGTGACTGCTGTTGTATAGTGTTTTGCAACTTGAACATCTCTCCGAACTGGACTACCTATATCAAAAGGCGAGCTCCTGAGCGCGCTCCCCTATTTTATCCTTGAGTTTTCCGGTTTAGCATACTTTTTGACACGGTTACATGTTGCTGGAACTAGAAGTCAAGGCGATATATACATATTCAGATCGCGCCTGGCACAACATCCGTCCACATGCTCAACTCCTTTCTGCAGCCAATACAATTCATTATAACGCACCCGTGGTCAGTCGCGAAACATGTCAAATCCCGTCGTGAACGACGGAGCCCATCTTGTCGCGAGCGGATAAAACGCCACAGATACTCTTTGCATAATGAAATGTAGCGCCTATCACTGACATACGCGCGGCAGTCGCTGTACGTAAAAATGGGCATTTCTAATGACACCTTTGTCCTGCCACTTGAGATGTCGATACGTATCATTAAAGCATAGTTCAGCATACTCAAATGCTTATTCAGATCCTATACAATCTCCTCCCCTTCGTCTCGTAAACTGTATGATGTAGCTGCTACTTCTCCTGATCGGCAAATGTAAGTCAAATGACATTTCGTACGTCTCCATCACCATTAGACTGTTTTCTCTTGATCTCCTCTTCGATTCTATCGTTTTATTCTGTGCTAGTCTATCTTTCTTCCGGTTGTTACCATTCGAAGTCGCCGATGAATGTCTAGTTTTTTTGATATCTGAAGGCGTGTTTGGTCTTATGAATGCCGACTTCTGGCCGTGATGTCCGATCAATCACGCAAGTGATGAAAACAAATGTCATCTGTTGGCGTTAGACGCTTCATGAGCTATTTTCTCGAAATTTAAGGCAAATGTTTGTGCGAGTGTATGCTGCAGTGTCTTAAGCACATAATTCTCAACGCATCGACATCCCTTGACCCTTAGAAAAGCTGCTAGGCCACCAGAGGATGGAACTTGGTTGCAAAGTTGGTTGAGCTTGTGAGGGGTCGCAAGAGAAAATGACACGTTTCAGGCTTGATGTTGATTGATCAGATCTTACTGTTACGAATGTTTACCTCGCACAAAAAAGCCTGAAGAATCCAAAACAAAAGGGTGTGAGCCTAACAAGTCCTACATACGTACATGCACAATAATTGTGGGCTGCGTTATTGCAAGCGTGCGTGATATCCCACGTCACTTTTTCTAGCCCATTTTTCTAATCAATTACCAACGATCGAATTTAAAGGCGGGGGAATTTTGCGTGAAAGGGTTGCGGCGTCTTGTCTGTTGATACTAAATGCGCCAAGCAACATTATGTCCGGTATTCTCGGGTGTGAACACATCACGTGTCAGACTTCGTACAGCAGACTCTGATGCGCCAGCAATCCTTACTACCTTAACGCCATTTTTGGTTTAACATTGGCGTCCAGTTTGTGCAGAGCCGACCATGAAGTTGGACGTGGCTCGGCACATAGTGTTACTTGCTGTTAAGTTTGGTATAGCTCTTTTGAAACACCGGCGATATCAACGTGCCTGCGTAGTTGCATCTCAATCAACTTGTAACAGCACGCACGAGCTTTCTGCTACATTACATCCCGGCATGCAGCAATTGAATTATCTCGATGAGTGACATGATGAGCACAAAGCATGCAAAAATGGCTGACTGCACAATGAAAGAGGATGGGATTCGCACCTAAGAATCTGTCTCTCGCTCGACTCGCTACTTGTTGCTTCGAAATTATGTAGCCCAAAGCCCCCAAAGGCGACTTCATAACCTTCTTTCGTATCGAATATCGATCGCTTTTCGAGTTCGTTGTTCATGCTGTTCGTCGTTTTTGGTATGCCACAATTAGTCATCTAGACTGCCCATTCATTTAGTTTGGTGTGCATCTAGCGGAAGTGATCCTGCAGCATGATTTGCATATGAAATTCGTCGTACAATCCTGACTTTCCCGAAAATGCTACAAGATGTATTGCTATGGCAGGAAAACAACATTTTCTGATACGCTTTGTGGATAAAAGTTAGAGGTTACTTGCAAGCGTGATCGTAGAGCAGACGAAGTCGTTTGTGTTCGATGTCCCATACTTGGTACATGTGCTTCGTACGCAAATCGAAATTGTCCAAGGTTACCAGGTGAGGTAAGAAAAATTATGGAGAAACAGTGACGTAGTAACAACTATTTAAAGCGTGGTGCGATTTTGTAATGGATCTTCCTTCTCGGAAAGCGTTCAGGACAACGACACTCATAACCTAGATCCTGGACGTTTAAATCATGTGCTACATTTGATACCTGGAATGCCAGAACGAAGCACGTTGTGACAGCCGGGCATATTTGCCACTTTGACTTGGTTTCAATACTACAACCACACAGTGGTAAAACTACGCGCATTCGACGATGCGAGTATTTCAACTCTGACTGTAGCAAGTACTACTGCGTAAGACGTTGCTTCAGTACATTTGTTGTTTCACCACTCTGATCAGTCATGATCTGGTGATGGTCGCGCACAAATAGACACGAGTCGACGGCAATCCCTAGCTGTGAAACTGTGGTATCGAATTGATAGTGGAGAGATCGTGTGGTCGTCAGTGTACGACTAACGAGAGTGAGCTGTACAGAGACGCTCTTTTCTGTGTTGCCCCACAAAGATGCGAGAGCCAGCAAGTCGCCATCTCAGCTGGTTGTGAGTGCAGAGGCTGTCATCACGTGTTGCGATTCCGAGCTTTCCAAGATACTACGGGGAAGAACCTACATGCGAAAGTCTGCAAGCATTGACAACACCTGAATATCCCTGCAAATGTGCGAGTCGACCATCGACAGCGCCTAAACTCCACACTGCAACGTCTTTGGTCTCGCAAGAGACTAAAACTGATGCCGCATCAAATAGTATGTAGTATTGAGAGCTCATGGACTTGAAGCTCGTAACAACCTCACGAATAGACCAGACAAGCGAAATGGCGTGCGTGCCGCTCGCGCGTTTGTGACGAAGACTCACTGGTCCAACGATCTTGATCACTTCGTCGCAACCATCACTTAAGAACAAGCTGTGTGATGCTCACACGACTTTTTCCATTGTACTCGAGTGCTTCAGATTGACTTTGACGTCCGAATTGTTGCATCCCGAATACGTACACGCGACGAAGCCAATCGACGACCGACTATTTGCATCGCACCCTGTGCGAACGCTATCCTCTCTCTCGGATGGGGCTTGCAGCTATCATAATATGGACACTATTGTGCTCGACCGCGACGGTATGCACCGTTCTCGCCACCTCGAAAGACTTCACGGGGACCACGTACCCGACCAAGTCGGGTATCAAAATTTGGGTGGATCCCGAAACTCCAGCAGAACAGCACAAGTATATCAGCTCTCGTGGACGGACGTGGGACCTCGTCATGAGTGACGAGTACAACGTCGCGAATCGAAGCTTCCGGCCCGGTGACGACCACATTTGGACTTCGCTCGAAAAGCCTGACGGTGTTAACGGTGCCCTCGAGCTCTACTCGCACAATATGACGAGTACCAAGTGTGACAGCGATGGCACTTGCTACTTCTACATTGAAGTCACTGATGAAGTAAATGTCTTCAAAGTATTCAACTTGTATAGGCACCCTCCAGGATACGAAAACGCGTACTTCTACTACCGAGCTGCTATGGTGCAGTCGTGGAACAAGTTCTGTTTCCAGGGTGGCATGCTCGAGGTGCGAGCTCAGCTGCCCGGAGCTGTCTCAAAAGAGTCCGGTAACCCAGACCTGGCACTCGGTGAGTCAGGACAAGCCAAGACAGCCAAGTTCTACCCGACATGGCCTGGTATCTGGATGATGGGAAACCTAGGTCGAGCCATTTTCTCGGCGTCGACCAACCGTATGTGGCCATATTCCTACGACAAGTGTGAGCCAGAAGTCTTCCCTCCAGAAAACCAGCGGATCAATGCCTGCAACGACAACCCTGGCTACGGATTGAACCCCAACCAAGGCCGGGGTGCCCCAGAGATCGATCTTCTTGAAGGCAGTGGCACAGTCATCTCATCGTCACTGCAGATCGCTCCTGGCATGCCTACCGACTTTCGTCTCTTCCCCGCTGATGCTGCTGGAGCTGATGCCGCTGACCCGTATTGCGTGTACACGTATGACTGTAAGACGCCTGGTGCCAATATGATTGACGTACCAACCTCCCACTACAAAAAGGAACGGGGCCATAAGTCGTGGTACCAAGGTCTACGCTACGGCGCCAACAATTACTGTCGACCCGATCCCAAGGCGAAGCAGGACTATGATACCGTCGCTGCATCGGTGAAATCTGGGATCACGAAGAATACGTGTAGCGTTGAGACGTGTCCGGCATCGGTTGATGTTAATGGTGACCTGGGTTTCATGGATAGCACCAAGACCTCCCATTGGGGTATCAACTCGAATGGAACGTGCTACCCGATCATAAACTCGTACATGGGCGCTTACCTCTGTGATCCAGACAATACCAACGTACTGTGCACGACTCCTCGAAACTCTTCGACGCCAAAGTCGAGCTCAATGAGTTCGTTTAACTACCAGATGGATGCAATTTCCTCAAATTGGCCCATTCACTTGGGCGGCTACCTTGGCTACCTCAAGTACCAACTCGAGTGGGTTACAGGCGAGAACGGATACGTGCGTTGGATGCTGGACGGGAGCGCACTCTTCGAAGTGACGACGCAGGCGCTTTCCAATGTACCACAGAACAGCAAGAAGAACAATCCACAGAAAGCGATGTTAGAGGAGCCCATGTACTTGATCTACAATGTGGCTCTGTCAAGTTCCTGGGGCACGACGCCTCCAAATGCAGGCAAAGAATGCCGTGGAAATGGTACGGACCCCGTGGCAAATGCGATCTGCGACTCGTTTCCAATGTTCATGAAGATTGACTACATCCGTTTGTACCAAGACCGAGGCGACGACCTTGACAAGGACAACTACATGCAAGTCGGATGCGACCCATCGACTCACCCGACCAAGACGTGGATTGACGAACACATTGAGGAGTACGTAGACGAAGACAATCCGTGGCGAGAGGTGTCAGGAAAAGCCTTCTGTACCATCGATGATGACTGCACGATTGGCAGCAGCGTTGGGACGGCGTCATTAAAGACGGGAAAGTGCGTCGAGGGGCGATGCCAGTGCAGTCACTCGACGTCATGGGGTGGCCCACGCTGTACCACAGCTCTATCAGGCTCGACGAGCACGAGTGCTACCAACCTGTCTCAAAGAGCCTATGGTCCGCCTATGAGTCTGTCTATGACTATTGCAGCTGTCGTCGTGTTCCTGTCGATTGTATCTGTCTACATGTCCATGGTGTCTATGGAGAAAGAGGCCGCAGCTTTGACAAAATCCAGTGTACAGACGAAAGTAGCGGGCAGCATCGACGAAGGAAACAGCCTGACGCACTCGATGAACCAAAGACCCAAGGACAACTATAGCCAGAACTTTGTCTAGCGTCTCTCTTCATACTTGACTCCAAACGAAAAATACACTCCAAGTAGGTGCGTACAACTTATTCGCGTCAATCACTAGGATGTCATGAGCGACACTAGTGTTGTTCCTTCTTCAGTCTGAGGTCAATACGGACTGTAGGCAAGATATCGCGAAGTAGGTCGCAACAGCAAGACGCTCTATGTTGTGTACCAGAGTCGCTCGTAGCGTTTGTGCATCGTCGTACGAGAAACGTTGACAGATGGTTCGCAGTCATGGGTGACCGCGTCTACTGAAACGATGGGGTCGACTAGAGACTGGACACATCCAAGCTATCCGCCTAAGCCCGATGTAGCGAAAACACCCTCAAGTCTTATCCATCATCTGTCCGTGTCCTGCCAAAAGTGCTCGTGCTGATCCATCAGAGTTTCTACTCATCGCATGTCTGTGTGTGGGCCACGAATGGAATCTTGCTGTGAAGCGGTTATAACAACTGACAAAGTGTAGCTTGTCAATGGAGAATTGCTCGCTAGATATGGTCGTCTTGCAGCTGCACGACCGTGACTTAGTTGGCGTAATAGTTTGGATAATGACAAGGTGGTCCATGGGTAGAATGATCTAGTACACCCCGAGTGGATTCCTCTCATACATCAGAGCTAACTACCAAGGCAGATGATGTGGATGCAAACCATGGCCTCCTGAATCGACTTCAAGAGCATCGCAACCGATTCGTAGCAAAAATGGGGAGCGTGTTGACGTTGTCCGCAGCACGTTCAAGCCATCTGGAAGACAATGTCGCGGTAGTAGACAGACTACTCCCCGGTTGCTGCTCGGAAGCAAGCATGGACGGTCTCCGAGCTATAGAGATGGAGGGTCGATGGTAGCGAGAAGATAGACGAAAAGTAGCTATGGTAATAAGGTGTCGACACGTTGACGAAGAATCACAGCGCACAAGCAGCGAAAGTTCTAGCGGCCGCAGGAGTATGTTGGCCCTCAATGATGGAGCTTTAAGGTCTACGGAAAGCCGTGAGTGGGCTGGTTTATCTGAGCAACAAGAACCACAACAACTACATCAACATGGATTGACTGACAGCCTGCAGATCGTGTAGTGTTACAACTAAAAGCATTTCTCAGTCTATACGACACACAGCAGATACGAGGAGTTGGCGATTGTAGTAAGTGCCGAAGACCTGGTCGGGGGTAGTGTGATTCCTGCTGTTGTAATTCAAATTCAGTGCTTGCAAACTGTTACCGAGTCATCATCTACATCATGTTCTGCCGTCACTAGGTTATCCAGATGTTGGCTGTGCTAATAACGGAAGAGGCATGGCACGTGCCAGTGAACAGAAGCTTTTCGAGTCAGCATGGTGGGGTCGCTCTGCTGTTGGACTTGGACTCACCCACGGCATGAACAGCGCAAAAACGTTTCAGATTCCAGCGAGCTCTTCATTCTCCGATTCGCTTTATCGGTGGACCATTTGGCATGTCCAGCAATGGCAGGAGAATGGGCCTAGCTGTAGCTTTCTATGCGGCCGTAATGACGATCATTGCAGTTGTCGCGGACAGGAACAGCTCGTCAACTTTATCTCACCCGACCAAGTCGGGGATCAGGAATTGGGTCGACCCGAGCACCCCCGAGGACCGACAAGTTTTTATCAACTCGCGAGGTCGAAAATGGGACCTCGTCATGAGTGACGAGTTCAACGTGGCCAACCGCAGCTTTCGTCCAGGTGACGATCACTTGTGGACTTCTCTGGATAAACCTGATGGTGTGAATGGTGCCTTGGAAGTCTACGCTCACGATATGACTTCGACCAAGTGCGAGGGTGACACGTGCTACTTTTACATAAAGGTGACGGATGACCCCAAGAGCATCTCGGTCTACAATATGTACAAGAGTCCTCCCGAGTTTCAAGAAGTCAAGTTTCACTATCGTGCTGCAATGGTGCAGAGCTGGAACAAGTTTTGCTACCAAGGAGGTATGCTGGAGGTACGGGCTCAGCTCCCCGGGGCAGTGTCTGACAAGTCGGGTAACCCGGATTTGGCATTAGGCAAGTCTGGTAAAGTGGCTACGAAGGAGTACTATCCGACGTGGCCTGGCATCTGGATGTTGGGTAATCTCGGGCGTGCGATCTTCTCGGCTTCGACAAACCGCATGTGGCCGTTTTCCTACGACAAGTGCGAGCCAGACGTGTTCAACCCCGACAACCAGCGCATAAGTGCTTGTGATGACAATCCTGGATATGGTCTCAATCCAAATCAAGGCCGTGGAGCGCCTGAAATCGATTTACTGGAAGGGGGTGGCCTGGGTATCTCCTCCTCACTGCAGATCGCTCCGGGCATGCCAGCAGACTTTCGTCTGTTCCCTGCTGATGCTGGGGGGGCTGATGCCGCCAAACCATTCTGTGTGTACACGTATGACTGCAAGACGAAAGGTGCAAACATCATCGACGTACCCACTGCCTACTTTGCTAAAACGCGCAAGCACAAGTCATGGTACCAGGGCCTTCGCTACGGTGCCAACAACGAGTGCCAGCCAGATGCCAGCGCGAAGCAGGACTTTATGACTGTGAACAAATCGATCACCAGCGGGATCACTGACAACACGTGCACGGCCGACACATGTCCGGCATCCCTGGATGTAAATGGCGACTTGGGTATCATCGATGGCAGGGGTAAGGATCACTGGGGGATCAATACAAACGGCACGTGCTATCCCATCATGAACTCGTACATGGGGTCCTACCTGTGTGATCCGGACAACACGAACAAAATGTGCAAGGTTCCTCGCAACGCCAGCACGCCCAAGTCAAACATCATGAGCCCCTTCAATTATCAGATGGATGCTATCTCGACAAACTGGCCGATTCATTTAGGCGGCTACCTCGACTATCTCGTTTACCAAGTGGAGTGGGTAACAGGTGAGAATGGCTACGTGCGATGGATGTTAGACGGGAGTCCTCTCTACGAAGTCACGACTGAAAGCTTCACGAATGTCCCGCAAAACCCCGACAAGACAAACCCAGCTAAAGTGATGCTCGAAGAGCCCATGTACATCATTATGAACGTGGCGCTCTCGAGTTCATGGAGTGCGTCGCCTCCTAACCCCAGCGGTGAATGCCGAGGCGACGGGAGTGACCTGGCAAACCGAATCTGTGACGAGTTTCCTATGTACCTGAAGGTCGACTACGTTCGGCTGTATCAGGATTTGGGTGACGACCTTCCTGAAGACAGCCTCATGCAGGTTGGTTGTGACCCGAAGAGTCACCCGACTCGGGAATGGATTGAGGGCCACATTGACGAGTACTCGGACCTTGATAATCCGGTCAAGACTGTGTATGGTAAAGCATTCTGCAAGACAAACGACGATTGTACTATTGGCAATGAGGCTGGTTCGCCAACTTTACGGACTGGAACTTGCGTCAAATCTCGCTGTGAATGTTCGTCGCAATCGTGGAGCGGTCCACGCTGCACCGAGGCGATGTCCGACACCTTCGAGAAGTCAAGCAGTCTGAGAAAACGCGTGTATGGTCCACCCATGGGGTTGTCGATGGGCGTAGGGAGCATTATTATCTTACTGTCCATTGCGTCTGTCTGGTCCGCTGCCATCGTGACGGCAAACGAAGCAAAGAAGGCGCAAAAGACCAAGCAGGCCGAGTTCGAAATGGGGCTACCGGACTCGCAGTTTCCAAGCGGAGACCTCAGTTTGAGTGTATCTAGTCAACTGAAGGACAACTACAAGCAGAACTTTGTGTGATAATGACTAGCTAGTGTGGGTTCTTGTGCGTGATACGATATATTGAAAGCGATTGATGATCAAAAAGATGCTCGAGACATGCACATCGCTTGACAGCAAGGCGATTCTCTTGCGCTTGACCATTATTGTCCACTACCCACGTAATATCCCACCTGGGTGTGCGAAGCAGATGTCGAACGACTGTTGCTTGACTGGGTTCGCGATGCATCTCGGTTCGCTGCAACCTGATCACATAAACTGAATGGCCTCCTCATTTCCAGATTCTCTGTGAAACAACCGTCCTCTGTCGCTACTTGTTCCCGTCGCAAGGCAAGATGAAAAGCCTTCTCGTTACAACGTGGACAACAACCTTCCTCACAGCTTTAACAGCCAAGAGAAGCTCAATGTCGGCCGAGTATCCAACCAAGTCTGGGCTGCACACTTGGGTCGATCCTGACACGCCCGATGATCGCAAAGTGTACACTACTTCTCGCGGACGACTATGGGAACTCGTCATGAGTGACGAGTTCAACGTAGCCAACCGCAGCTTCCGTCCAGGTGACGATCACATGTGGACGTCCTTAGAGAAACCGGACGGGGTCAATGGAGCTCTCGAAATCTACTCGCACAATATGACGAGCACCAGGTGCGACGACGATGGAAACTGCTGCTTCTACATCAAAGTAATCAACGATAACATCGATATCTCGGTGTACAACATGTACAAGCATCCCCCGGGGTTTCAAACCGCAACGTTTTACTACCGTGCAGCTATGGTGCAGTCCTGGAACAAATTCTGCTTTCAAGGAGGCATGCTTGAGGTACGCGCTCAATTACCCGGTGCAGTCTCGACAGCTTCGGGTAATCCAGACTTGTCCTTGGGGAGAAATGGTCAGGTAACCGAGACTTCGTACTACCCGACATGGCCTGGAATTTGGATGATGGGGAACCTTGGCCGAGCGATCTTTTCTGCCTCGACGAACCGCATGTGGCCATTCTCGTACAACCGGTGTGAACCAGAGCTTTTTGACCCGAGTAACCAGCGCATCAATGCTTGTGACGATAGTCCAGGCTTCGGATTGAACCCCAACCAAGGCCGTGGAGCCCCTGAGATTGATCTACTAGAAGGTGGCGGTCTTGCCATCTCATCTTCGCTGCAGATTGCACCTGGTATGCCGAACGACTTCCGTCTCTTTCCAGCCGACCCGGATGGAGCCGATGCTGCCAACCCATACTGCGTGTACGCGTACGACTGCAAAACGGTCGGGGCTAACTTGATCGATGTGCCAACAGAGTACTACAAACAGAAGCGAGGACACAAGTCCTGGTATCAAGGTCTTCGGTATGCCGCAAACCACAATTGCGTCAAGAAGAGTGCGAACATCCAGAGCTTCGCTGCCGTTAATGCATCTGTTGCTCGAGGTATTAAAACCAATGCGTGTACTACGTCAACGTGTCCTGCTTCACTGGACGTCCACAGTGACTTGAGTCGCATCGATGGCACGGGCAAAAACCACTGGGGCATCAACTTCAATGGCACGTGCTTCCCAATCATGAACTCGTACATGGGCTCCTACCTGTGTGACCCGGATAACTCGGACGCGCGATGTGCAAGTCCACGTAACTCGACCACAGCGAAATCCAACGCTATGGACCCGTTCAACTATCAGATGGATGCCATTTCGTCGAATTGGCCCGTTCACCTCGGAGCTTACACGGACTTTCTTGTCTATCAACTCGAATGGGTCACTGGCGTAAAGGGGTACGTGCGGTGGATGCTCGATGGCAGTCCGCTCTTCGAAGTGACAGCAGATGCGTTCTCGAATGTGCCTCAGAATGCAAAGCGTAGCAATCCGAAGAAAGTGATGCTCGAGGAACCCATGGCGGTTATTCTGAACGTCGCGCTTTCGAGTTCATGGGGAACATCGCCGCCAAATGCTGGCAAGAATTGCCGCGGTGACGGGGTGGACAAGACTGTGAACAGAATCTGCGATGAGTTTCCGATGTTCATGAAGATCGACTACATTCGGCTATACCAGGACCAAAGTGACGATCTCGATGCTGATAACTACATGCAAGTTGGCTGTGATCCAAAGAGTCACCCTACTAAGGAATGGATCGAGGGTCACCTTGACGAATACCAGGATACTGATAACCTCGTGACGGAGGTGGTTGGCAAAGCTTTCTGCAAAACGGACGATGACTGCACGGTTAGAGGCAACTACACGAAAACGACACTCGTGACAGGGTCGTGTTTGAACTCACGCTGCACCTGTTTGTACCCGAGATCGTGGGCCGGGCCTCGGTGCACGATCGCTCAGGCCGAGTCCACCTCGTCCCGTGCCTCCTCTCGAGTTTATGGCCCACCTATTCCGCTCGCCTTCCTCGTTGCTGGCATCGCCTATTTCCTGACATTCCTGTCAGTGTGGACCGGCATGAGGTCGACTGCAAAAAGGAACAAAGTGCTGGACGAGGCCGACACGGCGGTAAGAAAAGACCTGGATACTCGAGTTGCAGACTAGTTAGTCGTTAGGTTTTGGACGCGTTTTCAATCCACAAAGTCCACGTTATCGACCAAATGGCTTGCTAGCCCCTTCGAAGTGCTTGCGTTTGCCTATTCTGACCTGATGCGATTCTAATCTCGTTCCTACCTCGGCGAATTTGAAAAATGAACGGGCCATTATGGCATTCTGTCCTTGACCTAAACGAATGTCACTTCTTTTAATACCAAATGTGTGCATTCCTATTGGTTCTCAGCGCTCAGCTTTTTACGCTCGAGTCGTGCTTTATTCAAATTGCTTTTTATATAGTGTTTGGACGAACCCACTGAAGCGACGCTGTAGCCATGTCACAAAAGTAACAGTCCGAAAAGTCGCAGCGACTCGCGGGCGGTCGTCTGGACATTGCCCTCACATGTTCACAATCGTTTACAAAAGACCCAACTCGCACCGATTTCACCCACTTTATTCTCATGTCCAGTATCATCGACCCACGCGTGTTCGCTGCACTGCCCGTCGACATCCAAGAGGAAGTGCGTGAAACACACACTCGTTCTGTACCCGGACGTAGTCTAGCTCTTCCTAACGAACCCATCGACGCCCAAGGCGATGCCTGGAGTTGTCGCGTCTGCACGTTCTTGAACCACCCACAGCTTCTTGACTGCGAAGTATGTGGTTCTTTTTGTATCCCTCTCGAAACGAATACTCAGTCTCTTCATTTGGAGTCAGAGACTCCACAACGTGAATTCAATAGAACAGCTGCTACTGCTGCTGCTGCTACTTCACAAATTCCGCGCGTCCACGAGCTACACCAAGTAGCTCGTGATAAATTCCAAAATGTGCGGAAATCGTGGACACGACGACGGTCGAGTGCCAATTTGCGTCCAGATCCACGTCAGCTACCGGCCGCACAGGCAACTGCCGAACTTCAAGGTCTGCAGAACGATCTGTTGCACAAAGTTGTCGCAGGGGACGCCACGTTTGACGCGTTGGTGGCGCGTCTATGGCGAGCAGTAGAAAGGCGCGACGAGCTCGAGGTTTTTGAAAAAAGTGCCGTCAATTGGGTCACGTTAGGGTTTCAGAACGCCAGTCCTGAGACCGACTTTCGAGGCGGTGGGATGCTTGCACTCAAGTGTTTAGTGTATGTGTTCGAAGCCCATTCGAATGAGATGCAGGCGTTGTACCAAAAGCAGTTGCAAAATATGGGGCAATCCAAATCCGACCCTTTGAAAAAGAAGTGGTACCCCGTGTCTGTAGCTGGGATCAACTTGACGTGTCTACTGGCTGGACTATTGCAACTTGGCGATGGCCATTTTTGTGAGACGAGACAAACGTTTTGGGCGCTTTTCGAAGAGCCCGTGGCTTTTTATGAGCTCTTTTTTGTGGGTACGTGAAGGTTTGTAGATTGACTTGTAGGACAGAGTGGGGGGTTTGACTGCTTGCTTTTTGCGCTATTTCTGTGTTGCGTTTAGCTTTTATCAAAATGGATGCCATTTGGCACCGCTTGAATGCAAGTTATATGGAATTTGGCGGTACGTCTGAAGTAAGCGCTTCCGTTGGTCTCTTTGCGTTAACAAATGGCGGTGTATTATCCTGGTGTTTAGTGGTGCTCAAAGCTACGCAAAAGTGTGTGAATTGTATACTGGATCAAGCTCCTGTTACATTGATGGATCTGCGTGAAGCTAGTGACCAAGCGGTCGTGGACCGCTTTGTGGTCAGTCTGTCTGTGAACTCGCTTGCGGATTCGGAGGGAGGTGAATCTTCGGACCCGAATCATGCTCTCGAGCTGGAGGATGCTCTTGTGATTGCGAAGACGCGTGCCGCTAATAAACCTGCCGCTACTACGAGACGTCATTCGTTTTTTTGGCCCCTACACTAGTAGAAATAGGCATTGTGATACATAAGACCTGTACGAGGTGGCACAGGCAGCTAAGCACGCGTTTCCGATATTGTAGTATAGTACGCTGGTGTGCCAATAACAGTAGTAACATGTATATTATTGTGAAGCAGATACACTTTTGTGAGATGTTTTCGCAAATTCCAGTTGCTTTACACGTAGCTTGCAAAACAATCGTCCTTGAATCATTTCGATTGAAGAACGCGTCAGTTTGTTGGTGGGACAACTGAACACTAGGCGAACATAAACGAACGAAACGCTTGTGTGGCGAACGAAACTTACTTGATCGGAAAAGTTTAGTAAGCAAAGATATCAAATAGTGAATAACCTTCTTAGACTGCAAGCCAACAGTTGGCAAAACGAATTAAACTTGTTTTTGCTATCGCAGCATGTGATCGTAGTGGAGTTTTTTGCCAAGGTGCTTCACGTGTCATGTGGCCCGAGTTATACGACATTGATGCGTCGGAATCGATCTCTACCAAAATACGGACAAATTGGTATCCGGTGTCACATTCACATGGTACCGTTGGATAGGAGGAAAGCATTTACTTGAACGACACTTGCTTGGAAACACAACGTTAGGTTTTAACACAAAATGAAACCTACACTTTCAACCGATTATTTTTCTAGCTTTGACGAATGGGTTATCCTTTGATTCTAGCACATGCTTTGACCACCTCGTCTCAAGATTGACGATACGATTGTCCACGTACTAACTAACCTCAGTATACCTCGTCTAGATTTGTGTACACGTCCTGTGGCTACTTTGCGCGAGCTAGACGAAGTTTTGACTGTAATTGTCTCGCGGTATCTGGCGAGCACTGCCAAGGCCACTGCTGGACGACTCGTCTAGTTTGGCCGGCACATCGTTCGAGTTTAATCGAGAACTCACAGTCGGCGCAAACTTGCCCTGCTTTTTCAACACCGCCGCCGCCTTTTTCTCCTTTGCCGCAGACGCCAGGAACAAGAGGAAAGAAAAGAGCACCATAACCCCCGCGGTACCGATGGACATGCCAAAGGCAGGTCCGTAGGTAGTCGCCGAGACCGAAGTCGTGTTGACGTTGAAAGCAGAGGAGCTGGAAATGGCCGTGGTACAGCGAGGTCCACCCCATGACACCGAGTACATGCACTGGCACCGTCCATTGACACACTTTCCGGTTTTCAACACCCTCCTCCCCGCCCCTCCTCCAAGGGTACAATCGTCGTTGGTCATGCAAAAAGCCTTACCCACCACGTCTTTGTGAGGATTCTCGTCATCTTCGTACTCATCAAGGTGCCCCTCGATCCACTTTTTTGTCGGATGGCTCTTGGGGTCACAACCAAGTTGCATATAGTTGTCGTCGTCCAAGTCATCTCCCAGGTCCTGGTAAAGTCGGATGTAGTCCATCTTCAAGTACAGCGGGAACGCATCGCAGATGGTATTCGTCACTTTGTCCGACCCGTTCCCGCGACACGCTTGACCAGCGTTTGGCGGATTGGCACTCCACATACTCGAGAGAGCCACGTTGAAAATGATATACATGGGCTCCTCTAGCATCAACTTTCCCGGATTCGTTTTGTTCGCATTCTGTGGGACGTTCCAGATCGCTTCGGCTGGCACTTCGTACAGTGGCATCCCATGCAGCATCCATCGGATATACCCCTTTTTCCCCGTGACCCACTCGAGCTGATACGTCACGTAGTCCAGATACACCCCAAGGTGCACGGGCCAATTGGCCGAAATCGCGTCCATTTGGTAGTTGAACGAGCTCATGGCATTGGATTTGGGCGTCTTTGCTTCATCGCGCGGCTGTGCGCACTTGTAAAATGTATTGTCGGGATCGCACAAGTACGCGCCAAGGTACACGTTGAAGAGCGGGTAGCAAGTGCCGTTCGAGTTGATACCCCAATGCTCTTTGCCTTTGCCATCAATCAAATCCAAGTCGCCATTGATGTCGTTCGAAGCTGGACAGGTGTCTTTCGAGCACGCATTCTTGGTAAATCCGCTTTTCACCGACGCGGCGACGGTGCTATAGGACTGCTTTCGCTTGGCATCCGGTTTACAGAAGTTGTTCGCGGAATAGCGGAGACCTTGGTACCATGTTTTATGCCCCCGGGTCTTGTACAGTGCAGTCGGGACGTCCGCGTGGTTCGCACCGGGGGAGTTACAAGTGGACGAGAAGATGCACGAGGGGTCTTCCTTGCCATATTCGATAGACATGATGCGGTATTCATCCGGCATGCCTGGCCCAATTTGAACCGACGACGACACCAGAGCTCCACCACCTTCCAGCACGTCAATCTCCGGGGCCCCTCGTCCTTGATTGGGGTTCAACCCGTAGCCCGGGTTGGAGTTGCAAGCACTAATGCGCTGGTAGCTCGGCTCAAAGAGGTCGGGCTCGCACTTGTTGTAGGAAAACGGCCACATGCGGTTCGTTGAGGCCGAGAAGATGGCTCGACCGAGGTTCCCCATCATCCAGATCCCGGGCCACGTCGGGTAGTACTTGGTGGCCTTGACTTGCTCGTTTTTGCCAGTTGCCAGGTCCGGGTTCCCTGAATCAGGGGCGATAACCCCCGGGAGCTGCACCCGTGCTTCCACCATCCCTCCTTGGTAGCAAAACTTGTTCCAGGACTGGACCATCGCCGATCGGTAGAAAAAGTTGGCATCGACGAACCCGGGCGGGTGCGTGTACATGTTGTAGACGTGAATGACGTTGATTTCGTCCACGGACTTGATGTAAAAGTAGCACGTGCCGTCAGCGTCACATCGCGTGGAGGTCATATTATGCGAGTAGAGCTCAAGGGCTCCGTTAACACCATCGGGTTTCTCGAGCGACGTCCAGATGTGGTCGTCCCCGGGTCGAAAGCTCCGGTTCGGCATGTTGAACTCGTCACTCATAACGAGGTCCCACTTACGACCCCGGGAGCTCACGTAGCTCTGACGATCATCAGGAGTCGCAGGGTCGACCCAGATCTTGACCCCCGACCTGGTCGGGTACGTGATCCCTATAGCTGCGGATTTCTTGGCAGCGACACTGAATACAATCGCGACTGCCCACGTGATAGCCAGTGCGTACACTACTACGTACAGTCGGAACCGCATCCTAGAGTCGACTACTGTTCACCTACGTGGACTCTGGTTCGCAAGTTCTCAAGTGAGGGATTGCAAGTCAAAGGAGTCGGTCCCGAACGACAAGGACTTGAAAGGCTCTAGAGACACAAGTGCGTTTTCCATTCTGCCTTTTTCTTCTCACACAGAGCCGTGACGAGGAGACTCGAGGCGCCACCGAATGTCGCTCTTTCGTGCAGACGATTGACACAAGCCGGTGTGGTTGTTGTCGTCAATCGTAAGGCATGCAGGTATGAGGCCCGCATAGATGCTACTTGAATGAATTGAACAAAGCGTTCGTCTTTCCATGGCATTCCCACGTCAAGAGAAAGACCTACACACGGATGACAACAAGTGGGGAGCCAGGTGACTCGAGCGCCGAGCTTCTGATTGCTACGTTGATTACCGACTGCACATACTGTGGAAGTGATTGGTTGTCAAGTAGAACCTTCAGGACCGAAGGCTACCGCTGCAAGGTCGGATGCTGTTCAGGACCTGCGCGTGACTCGACAAGGTGAGGAGGTATCCGCTATCGGTCCCATCTGGTTAAGAGGAACAAAACTGTCGTCGGCGAGCGACGCATAAGTTGGCCACTGCATCGGGCGTATCGGATCGAAGAAGTGGTCGTGCCTGTGCTACACTGTGCTTGTCATCATTGCAGGAAGCAAGAAGGTCGTGCTGTGTACAGACGCGAGACTTGGCAGATGCAAAGGTCTCGTTGCTTCAGACTAGTTGTGAGATAAGCTCTAACAAAACGACTTGGTGTCCAGCCCGTGTCGTGTTTGCTGCACACGCCTCCCCCCTCCGCACATACCCTCGTCTCCAGCGCTCTAAATGTTTCGCTTCTGTATCGTCCCTTGAGGCTCTGGTTTCAGTGAGGATGTTGGCGGTGTTCGCCTCAATTCTCAGCCAAGAGTAGCAGATATGCGAAATTGCTCGAGCTGTCGCGGTTCCCGACGATTTGCTGGTCGCTCGCTCGATTGACACAAGTTGACGAGATCTGAAGAGCGTGGCGACTCGCTTGGGATCCATCCTGAGCTTTGCACTGACTCGTCTAATCGACTACTTACCCCACGTAGACGGTCCGAGGGACGACAGGTTGGCCTCGTTTAAGTCAGATAGGCTAGTAATGGCCTCGAGGCGTGTGCCGTCTAAGGCGTTCGTTCCTCTTGAAGCTTGTGCTGGACTGATGTGTTCTGACCGCAACTTGGTTCTACACTTTATCGCTTGGTCCGCGTGATGACCTTGCTTTGCTTCATTGCAGCCATTCAATTCATATCGAAAGTATCAATAAAGTAGCGAGTTCCTGGGTTCAGTGTTGTCGATTTTTATAGTGCCGTCTCCTCACTTCTCCATCGCTAACGAGCCTTCAGCTGGTCTCTGATGCAACTGCTCCATTATTAGTCCAGCTGCCGACACTTTGCATTTCTGCATTGAGGCTGACTAAAGGATAGAGAGAGAACGCCGAGACCGGCAGTAGCGAGTCTTTTCGTGCACAGCCGGCTCGACTTTGTGCGACTCGTACAACCTGCTGCAAGTACCTTAGATCTAAGTTGCGACTCTTCAAAACGCCATGACGATGCCACGATACTCGCCCTCTATCGCCGCAACAGTTTATAAAGTCGGAACTGCTTACCAGCTCGGGGTCAAATCTATGCAACAATGCTCGTCATCAACTTTGCCCCCTGAACGATAGACGTCCACTCTCAACGTCGACACGGGTGTGCTACATGCGAATATTGATGGTGCCTCGAGGACAATTCAAGAAAAGAGAGATGGTATCGTTTGCCCCCGTCCGCGATGGAAACAAGTTATGATGCCGATCAGACTCGGCGTGAAGCTTACAGGGGTCAAAAGCTGCTCAAGTTGTCAAATAGCTCTTACAGCAATAAAAGCTGGAGGCTTCATTAATAGTAAAGCCTACAATAGCGCAAGCCAGCTCTATCAGCCAGTAAATGGGTATAGTAAAACTACAGGCGTAAAAGGTGTGAGCTGAGAGCCGAAGATCCTACTTCTTTGCACACGGTTTTAGGCTTCTAACGAGTAAAAGTAAAAGCTCGCCCGCTGTGTGCTGGTTCATTAAAAGGCGTTATTACCATGTTAAAGAAAAATAGCCAGCGTAATTAAATCCTTAAAGACAATACAGAATATGTGGCAGACGGAAAGATACGATAACAGTACGTTTTACTTACAGAAATATAAAGAATACGTAGTACCTAAACCTTCTCTCCGTTGTATTGCCACGTTACGGTTAGGGCAGATGACGTTACAGCGGCCAAGTCATGCGACAGGTAAGGGGTAGGTATATGAACCTTGAGACCGCAGCAACACCCACCCCAGCCCACGTTGCTTGCAACCCCAACCGCGCTGTACACTCGCAGCCACACAAATGGTGCTCGAAAAAGTAAGGCTCAAAGTCCCAAAAAGTGGCTGCGTATGAGCTGAAAATTAGGACGTCGAACGCGAATTTAGATGACCGACCCTTGTCTGTTCAGACAAAGTTCTGACGGTAATTTTCCTTCGACACCGGGACGCCATTGGCGCTACTTTCGCTCGTCGGGCCAGTCTCGGAAATCGCCGCAGCCTTTTGCTGCGCCGTCACAGCTGCCATCGCCACCTTGGACTGTTTCGCCGATTTCGACACGGCCTTGTAGACCGAGAGCGCCGACAAAAGACACGCCACCACTGCCAGCGCAATCGAGACTCCCATTGGCGGTCCATACGTCTCGATATTCACCCCTTCATCCGACGACAAACTCGAGCCTGAAGTCGCCGTCGTACAGCGTGGACCTCCCCACGAGCGGTACATGCACTCACATCGCTGTTTCACACACTTGCCCGTCTTCAACGACGTTTGGCCCAATGACCCGCCAATTGAGCAATCGTCGCTCGTCTTGCAAAACGCCTTGCCGGACACTTCAACCACCTTGTTGTCATTGTCTTCGTACTCATCCATGTGCCCCTCAATCCACTCCTTCGTCGGATGGTCAGGAGGATCACACCCAACTTGCATGTAGCTGTCCTCGTCCTGGCCTGAGCCTCGGTCCTGGTACAGTCGAATATAGTCGATCTTCATGTACATTGGGAACGAATCACAAATGGCATTAGCCACCGAGTCATTCCCATCACCACGACATTCTTTACTCGGGTTAGGAGGCGACGTGCCCCACGAACTCGAAAGAGCCACGTTGAAGATGATGTAGAGCGGTTCTTCAATCATGACCTTCTTCGGATTATTCTTCTTTGAGCTCTGCGGAACGTCCTCAATCGACGAAGCGGGGATTTCAAACAACGGCGAGCCGTGCAGCATCCAGCGAATGTAGCCGTTACTACCCGTCACCCACTCAACCTGGTAGTCATGATAACTAGTGTACGCCCCAAAGTGGAGCGGCCAATTGGAAGACAAAGCGTCCATCTGGTAGTTAAAGGTACTCATGGCGCCGGAGGCAGGAGTGGTCTCGGGGTCACGCGGTTGCGCACACTTTTGGTACGTATTATCCGGATCGCACAGGTACGAGCCCAAGTACGCGTTAAACAACGGGAAACACGTGCCGTTGGAATTGATGCCCCAATGCTCATCGCCTTTACCGTCAATGGGGCCGAGATCGGCGTTCACGTCATTGGAACCAGGGCACGTCTGAACGCTGCACTTGTTCGCCGTGATCCCTGCTTCCAACGACGCAACAATGGTATCGTAGTCCTGCTTCATAGCTCCACTTGGTCGGCAAAAGTTGTTCGATGCGTACCGCATGCCTTGGTACCAAGACTTGTGATCCCGTCGTGCCTTGTACACTGCCGTCGGGACGTCAATGTGGTTCGCCCCTGGTGTCTGGCAATCGGCTGTATAGTGGCAAGAATTCGAGTCCCCCTTGGACTGGTCCGGGTAGAACAGCCGGTACTCATCAGGCATCCCAGGTCCAATCTGAGCCGAAGCTGAGACCGTGTTCCCCGCTCCTTCCAAGATATCGATTTCCGGAGCTCCCCGTCCTTGATTCGGGTTCAGCCCGTACCCTGGATCATCGTCACACGCACTAATGCGCTGGAACGTGGAATTGAACACGTCGTCGTCACATTCGTTGTACGTGAACGGCCACATGCGGTTCGTCGAGGCGGAAAAAATGGCTCGACCGAGATTCCCGAGCATCCAAATCCCTGGCCACGTGGGGTAGTACTTTGTATTCACTACCCGGCCACTTGGTCCGGCTTTGATATCCGGGTTCCCGGATTTCGGGTCCGTAGCTCCTGGTAATTGGACCCGGACTTCGAGCATCCCACCTTGGTAACAAAATTTGTTCCACGATTGGACCATCGCGCCGCGGTACCAAAAAAAGACCTCTTCAAAAACAGGCGGGTGCTTGTACATATTGTATACACGGACGCTATTCACTTCGTCAATCGTGCGGATGAAAAAGTAGCACGTGCCGTCCTTGTCACACGCCGTAGACGTCATGTTGTGCGAGTAGAGCTCCAAGGCGCCATTGACACCGTCGGGTTTCTCCAGCGACGTCCACATGTGGTCGTCGCCCGGTCGGAAACTCCGATTCGGCATATTGAACTCGTCACTCATGACCAGGTCCCACGGGCGCCCTCGGGAGCTCATGTATACGCGCCGGTTCAGCGGCGTATCCGGATCCACCCAAATACCGACGCCCGATTTCGTCGGGTGGGTTGTTACGTTGGAAGCGCCATCGACGCTACTACTGATGGACGCAGCGAGCATAAAGGACACGGTCCATGCGCATTTGATTGGATTCCAAGGAGGCATTGGAGAGACGATGATGCCGTTGCAAGGGGTGCGGGAGGAAGTTCCAGTTGTGGTGTGGAAAAGAGAGGGGGAGGGAGGAGCGGGCGATGGTGTCGAGGATGGTGGGGATTGCCAACTGATCGCTACGGCGTCGACCATGCGACGGCATCCGATCGATTGGTCCGATCAGAAGGGACGGTCCCGCAACCCTGTCAAACAGGACAAGAAGAGAGAAGGGGGGTAGGGGGACTGCGCGGCTGACTGGGTGGCTGGCTGATTGACTGAACTCTTTTGGCGCGACGTACGTACTACCTACGGACGACCGTCACAAATTGTTGTGGGTTGTTGGATTGAAAATTTGTAATGTGCTTGAGATAGTCGAGATGGAGATAAATATAAACTTTGAAGAGCATGTGGCGAGAGACGAGAGAGTGGCTGGCTTGTCTTTTTTCTATGGTGGGAATGTTGTCGTGGTATAGATGGCGACGTCGAGTCGACGTGGTTGGCTACGGTCGTCGATACCACGTCGTCGTCTTCTTCTTCTTTTTCTTTTGTAAGTGGTACTGTTTTTCATTACTAGAACTGGCTGCAGTGTGGCTTGATGAGTAGCGAGTTGCTAGATTTTTCGTCCGGTGGACAGGGTGCCCGGAGCAAATCTGAACCGATTTAGACTCGAGTTTGTTATTGACCTCCTTTCTGTGTTGGACGCAACGAAGTAGAGAAGCGAAGTTGACGAATGTACGACCGGGCTTACGCCATGGCTCGCGTGGGAGAGAGCGAAGGCAAAAAATAAATATCCCCCCTCTCTGTTTGCACCGCCCACACATGGCGAAGCAGTCGACTGTCGAGTCGGTAAACATACTAATTTTGGTGTGAAAATCTGGGCGAGTGGTGATGGGTGCCAATATGGAAGAGTGCCACCCCATCCGTGTATGACATGTCGATTTTATGCGCTGATACGCACGGAAATACGAAATCCTTGTATCGATAGCGATCACTCTATCGCAAGATAGGGGAGCAAGCCCTAGAGCTCGCCGAAATCCAGTTCGGAGAACTGAATCAAGTTACAAAACACTGTACGACAGCATTAGTCACTGAAGATGAAGTATGATGCTCGTAATGTCTGCATTAATCCAGTACAACGCGATCGGCCTTTGCTATATGAGCGTCCAGCATTTGCTCATGTGATCATGTTTACCTCTGACCGATTTAAGCCAATCACAAGCGTGCATCTCTATAGTGACGTAGTCAAAGAGTGACTTCGGATATGCCTATATACCAATGAAGGGGACAGACTGGTGCCGCGGTGCTTAGTGAAACCCATTGACGGTTTTTCATACACTGCATCATCAGCTGAGCTAATGTCACCAATGACTTAACATCACCTTACGTTTCGGGCGTGTCGTCCCACTTGTGCGCACGGTTCAGAGCTTATTGTTGTACATGGTTCCGTCTTGCCGGCCTGAGGCATTCGTTTTTTGCAAAAAATAGTACTGAAAAATCATGCTTCGTCCTCTATTCTTTGCATGCGTATCCGCACGCTAAGATCATTTTGCAGGTTTGCTTTCACTACTAAAGAAGCAAAATTCAGTTACGATGAACCTATTCCTATCGTGCAAGGACTGATGTACAAATCACAGCCCCGGACCCGACTGCAATGGAATATATGGGTAGACCACTAACAAGGAAAACTTTAAACAGGCACGAACAGCTGAACGAGAAGTAGTAATGAGATCAGCAACGCCACGCGTGTGCTTCAATCTTGGGTTCTGCATAAACGGTTCTCTACCATAGATCGTTCATCTCGACTGGCACGAGCGACGAGTTTATTTGTTGTGCACGAGCAAAGGGGACCGATTAATGGTAAAGCTTGAGAAAGCGACATGGTCAGACCTGTACGACTGCTTGCTTAGTCGTTGGTTCTGTCGGTGCATTTGCCACAAATGTTTGGGTCATGCAGTAACCTTAGACACACAGGCGAGCAAATGGATTTGATTCAGCCAACACTTCAGTGATGACCCATCACTGTACAACCCCTGTTCCAATTTGTACAAGGTCACAATCCCAATGAACATAATATAAGTCTGCACTCGCAAGGTAATGATGCGTAGAAAATGCATCGATGGAAACACCATACGTAACGTGGGCTGCTGTAAAATGGACTAAGTGGTAGAAGAATAGGTGGAACGTGAATCGCGACACTAAAACGAAGACGTACCGATTGCATACTGCCCTATCTTGCCTTCATTCTTGTGCTACTCATGAAGCCTTTTCCACGAGAAACCATGTAAAAGCTACGGATAAGGCTTACCATTTGGTCGGATTATGTAAGATATTCAGCATCAATACCGGTCGGTTTCAGGTACACCTTATGCGCCTAACACGTCCAGTCTTTGTAGCAATCATAGTATCCGCGCAAGTGCAATCTTGCTCTGTAAGTTCACGTGGCAAAACTACAACGACGACGGTGTGATCGCGGGTGTTTGGTATCAGCAGTACATAATCATGAGTACGCTGTGACTAATTTCTAATAACCAGCGAAGCAGATAAATGGAAAGATAAATGTCCGACACCGAGGTCAACGTATGGACAGTACATTCCGCACATGAATGCCATCTCCAGCAGCTTTATTGTCCATCTAGCGACGTAAGAGAATGTAGGACAAACGATAACGTGCAGGCTCTCAAAGCTCTTATTATTTTGTAACTACCGATTGTATCGTACAGTGCTCATAAACACACCAACTGTCTCCATGACCCTGTTAATTCATTAGCAAATTGCTGGGCTGACATTTGTTTCGCATCACGTATCAAAAACGTGACTGCGCCCAGATCATTCACGATGCTACTAAAAGTTATGTAAAGTGTACATACATATGCAGTATGTAGAACGTGTTGCAAGTGACAACTAGCTCTCGGAAACTACGGGTACTCACTCGGCCACGTCATCCCTAAAATGTGCTTTTTAGTGAACCGACACGGGTAATACCTTGAGGTTAACGCTCCACGTGCTTTAAGTCATTTGATCCGCACTACATCTTTTCACAGCGAAATGGATCGATGGATCGCATACGTATGTGTTACTCACCATCAGATACTATGTATGTCGCCCTTGTCGTGACAAGATAGACGCGTTTCGTCAGCGCGACATTTCATCGAGGTTGCTGAATTTGTATAGTAAAAACATCTTATCACATTGTCACATGCAATTGACCGTTTTTATAGGAACATTGGCTTCTAGGATATATGGATGAGAGTTTGTCGAGCAACTTCGTGATATAAAAAAGGCGATCTGGCATTCTAGAGTAATTACTTCGTTTACATATCGTATCTAAAGTGCTTCGTTTTGACAGGCACCACATGCAGAGGTGATAATTTTTTGGTACTTTAGTGTCACTGGAAAATGACGTGGCTCCGGTAAATCTCAATATGGAAAAGGGTGATCACGTTACATTACCTCATGTGCAATCCTGATATCCTATAATTGAAAGAATGAGGATTGTGGAGCGTGCAAGTAAAAGTGACCTTTCCACCGTCTATACCGGCTACCGGCTCGCATGAAAGCTTAATAGCTTACAATGCATAGCGAAGCCACCCACTAACAGCGTGCTTATAATATGAGCTTGCATTTAATCAATCACTGTATTACCGAACACGTTACATGTTGCAGCAAAACGTATAATCAAGAAAATCATTTTCTGTAAAATTGTTCCTTTTTATTTTCGGCTCATGAGTGTCGTGTATCATCACCAAAGTCAAGTGTCTTGTCATTATTAACTGTTAACATAGCACCGTCTACTGCTTTTTATGTTCATGGATAGGTTTGGAAGAATCGAGAAGGACTGGCTGAGAAGAAGCACAGCATGACGTCATCGGGTGACGTCACAAGGAGAGCTTCTTAAACCTTCTGGAAGATCTTGAGAAGATCGAAGGGTGTTGATTGGTCTAGATAAACCAGTGAACCTTCTAGAAGATCTTGAGAAGATCGAAGGGTGTTCATTGGTCTAGCTAAATCAGTGGGACTGATATAGTTTGTCTAAGTATAGGAAATGAGTGGCTTAGAGGTAGCGAAGCAAGTTTGCGAACTAAGGACCATAAATATATTCACTTCACAATTTGCCTTCGCCTGCGCACATCAACATCAACAGGTTAACAGCCGCAACGCGCTCCAAACCGACAAGCCACCACGTCCACCATGACAAACAAGCGGTGTGAAGTCCTCCTAGGTAGTGGAAACTACTTCCACTGGGTGTATAACATGCGCATGACGTTGGCGCGCAAGGGGCTGCTGGTGCACGTTCAAGTCATCAAGAAAGAAGAAGAGATGACGGATGCCTGGCTGTTCAACGACGCTAAGGCACTGGGTATCATCGCTCAAGGCATAGAGCTACAGCACCAGACCAAGATACGATCGGCGACGACAGCTATGCACGCGTGGGTCATCTTGCGGGACTTCTACAACCGCACCACGCTCCACAATCGTGTCGAGATGACACGTCGTCTGCATGAGTTCAAGATGGAGAATGGTTCGACCATGTCGAAGCACTTGGATGCTTTTGACGAGCTTGTTGTCGGCCTCCAGACACTTGGAGGGCCAGTCGATGACTCTCGGCAGCTAGTGGTGCTGCTTAGTAGTCTTCCGACGGACTATGAGCTCATCTCGTCAATTGTGGAGAATTCCAAGGACATTACGCTCATCGAGGTCAAGGAAAAGCTGCTCAAGGAGCATGAACGATTGCAGAAGAAGGAGACTACGGAGAAGGCGTTTCCTGTAAGCAGCAACGGTAGACGGTTCAAGGGAGGCCAAGGTAACGGCCGCAAGGGAAACTATCTACGGAAAACCAACACCGGAATTAAAGGCAAGTGCTTTAAGTGTGGTCAAGTCGGACACTATAAGCGGGACTGCCTGAAGCGTAGCAATGGCGAGAAAGAAGGTGCTGTGTTTGCTGCTGGTGAGTTGCAATGCGAAGAATGGCTTATCGACAGCGGGGCTGCGTCGCACATGACACCACATCGGAGCGATCTATTTGAGTACAAGGAGTTGAAGACTGGTCAACAAGTCTCTATCGCTGATGGCAAGAAGCTGCAGGTAGCTGGAGTGGGAACAGTCAAGCTGAAAGGTCTAGACGGTCGACGGATCATGATGGTCGATGTCATGCACATACCAGGACTTGACAAACGATTGCTGTCCGTTGGCAAACTGGCAGGACGAGGCATGAGGGTGGAGTTTCAAAGCTCGTCCTGCATCATTTGGAGTGCCAAGCGCGCGATTGCAAGCGGCAAGAAGATTGGCAAGGCGTACTTCCTGGATTGCGAACAAGAAGAAGCCCGGCTTGTAGAATACGCAGGGGCTGAAAGTGAGTGGGAGCTTTGGTACGCTCGCTTGGGACACCCCGGAAGATCTGGTATGGACAAGACACAGCGCGCTACGAGTGGTATGCCGGCGGTAAAGCAGGGCATCGAGAAGCTGTGCAGTGGATGCATGAAGGGCAAGCTGACGATTGATACATTCCCGTATCAATCGCTAACAAGGACGTCACGTGTGTTGGAACTAGTACACACGGACGTGATGGAACCGATGAGACGGTCTCAAAGGGTGGTGCACGATTCGTATTGACATTCGTAGACGACTACTCAAGATTTGTGGCAGCTTACTTCATGAAGCACAAGAGCGAGGTGGCCGCAAGGCTTAGCGAGTTCAAGGCTTTCTATGAGAATCAATGGGGCAAGCACTTGAAGTATATACGGTCGGATAACGGGACGGAGTTTGTCAACAAGAAGATTGCCCATATATGCGCCCGTAATGGTATCATGCACCAGCGGACAGTACCATATAGTCCGCAACAGAACGGCGTTGCGGAACGCATGAATCGCACTATCATGGAGAAGGCAAGGAGCATGCTGTACTACAAGGGTATCGACATGCAGTGGTGGGCAGAGGCGGTCAGTACGGCTGTGTACTATCAACAGATCCACAAACTCTGCAAATTCGGACGTAACACCGTTCGAGGTCGGTTTCAAGATGAAGCCGAGTATTGAGCATTTGCGTGTGTTTGGATCGCAAGGGTATGCTCACATTGACGACGCCAAGAGGACGAAGCTCGAACCAAAGAGTTACCGGTGTATGTTCCTCGGATATGCGGAGAACACCAAGGGATACAGGGTGTTCAATCTGGAAAGGTCGAAGGTTGTCATATCGCGCTCCGTAAAGCTGGACGAGCGGGAAGTTGAAGGTATATACGACATGGTGGTACCAGATAAAGTACCAGTCGTCAAGTATATTAGGGACACTGATGAAGCAGTGATTCCGGTGGTTCGTCCGTATGATGGAGACGAGACGATGGAAAATGTCGAAGAAAGCGCTCCTGATGTCGAGATGAACGAGATAGAATCGGCTCCATTCGAAACAGGTATCATCATACCTCAAGTACTCGATCCAGAAACTCAAGAACCAAGAGGCGATGAGATAACGGGATATCAAGATCCGAGACAAGCTTTTCAGGAGGACAGGTTGGTATTTCAGCCGGAGATAAATCGGACAAGACGCTCACGAGACAGAATGCTGCTGCTTGAGAATGGGAATAGCAGTGAAAACACGTCAGAAGGTAGCGATGGACCACCTTCTCCAAAGCGTGCAAGAATTGATGACGAAGGTCTCATTGCAGAGGCTGTATTAGCCTATGCTGCAAGCGTTGGCGAGGCGGACGACGCTCCATCAACATACAGCCAAGCGTTAAAGGCGAAGACATCAGCAAGTGGATTTAAGCGATGCAAGCGGAGCTCAAGGCGCACGCCGATAACGGGTCCTGGACACTGGTACCAAAACGGCAAGACATTCGACCAATCGGGTGCAGATGGATATTCGCTAAGAAGCGAAACGAACACGGAAAAGTGGTGCGCTACAAAGCTCGACTCGTCGCAAAGGGGTTCAAGCAGAAATTCGGTGTCGACTTCTTCGAGACGTACTCTCCCGTGGCAAACATGAACTCGATCAGGGTTGTGCTAGCTGTGGTGGTGACAAAGGGATACGTCACTGAGCAGCTGGACGTAGACACGGCGTTCTTGAACAGTGATCTCAAGGAAGAGGTGTACATGGAAGTGCCAAATGGCATAGCTAATGCGGAGAAGATGATGTGCAAGTTGGACAAGGCAATCTACGGTCTCAAGCAGGCTGCAAGTGCGTGGAACAAGACAATCCATGCTGTATTCTTACAGATCGGATTTCGTAGCAGCGGAGCAGATCAGTGTATCTACGTCAAGCATCAAGATGACAACTATGTCTATGTTTGTCTCTACGTCGAAGACATGATCATCGCCGCCAAGACCAGCAGGGAGATTCAAGAGGTCAAGACAGCACTCAAGAGCTCATTTCGTATGAAGGAGCTAGGCAAGGCTAAATTTATTCTTGGCGTGGAGATTGATCATGACCACAACTGCAGTAAGCTGATGATTCGACAGACTCGATACATCGATGATGTGGCCAGCCGTTTTAATCAAGAGGACGCAAAGGCAGTGGTCAACCCATGCGAGTCCGGCCTGAAGCTGTCAAAGAAGCAATCTCCAACGACGGATGTCGATAGAGCAGAAATGCAGTCAAAGCCGTACAGGTCGCTGATCGGATGTTTGCTATACATCACGACATGTACGCGCCCAGATGTGATGTATGTCATCACGCAGTTATCAAGGTTTTTGGAGAATCCAGGTCAGCAACATTGGAAGGCAGCCATTCGTGTTCTTCGGTATCTCAAGACGACAAGAGACTACGGGATAATCTACGACGGCAGCGCTAGCGAAGTAACAGCTACAGCGTATACGGACGCGGACTGGGGTAGCAACATCGATGATCGACGCTCCGTGTCAGGGATAATGGTGATCATCGGTGGCGCACCAGCCATATACAAATCCAAGTATCAACGCACGGTGGCTCTAAGCTCTGCTGAGGCAGAGTACATGGCTTTAAGCCTGTGTACACAGGAAGTGTTATGGGTTCGTGCGCTGCTTAAGGATCTAGGTCACGAGCAAGTGGGAGCAACGTGGGTCTGGGAAGACAATCAAGGAGCAATTGGGCTTGCCAGCAATGCCGGCTACAATGCCAGAACCAAGCACGTTGACATTCGTCACCACTTCATCCGGGAGAATGTGGCCCACGATATCATCGTGGTCAAGTACATCTCCACCATGGACCAATCGGCCGACATGCTAACGAAGGCTCTGGGGACCAAGCGACTGAACTATTTGATACAAGCAAGCTGCATTGGACCCAAGTGCATTTAGCAATAGCGGTGAGTGGGAGTGTTAACATAGCACCGTCTACTGCTTTTTATGTTCATGGATAGGTTTGGAAGAATCGAGAAGGACTGGCTGAGAAGAAGCACAGCATGACGTCATCGGGTGACGTCACAAGGAGAGCTTCTTAAACCTTCTGGAAGATCTTGAGAAGATCGAAGGGTGTTGATTGGTCTAGATAAACCAGTGAACCTTCTAGAAGATCTTGAGAAGATCGAAGGGTGTTCATTGGTCTAGCTAAATCAGTAGGACTGATATAGTTTGTCTAAGTATAGGAAATGAGTGGCTTAGAGGTAGCGAAGCAAGTTTGCGAACTAAGGACCATAAATATATTCTCTTCACAATTTGCCTTCGCCTGCGCACATCAACATCAACATTAACCCATCAAAACTGAATGAAGACAGCTGAGATAGAAGCAGTATGACAACACATCGTTGGAACCTCGCGTCCCCTTGATACATTAGACACGCAAGTGCATGACTACTATCATTAGCAGATCCAAGAAAACGATGGAGGAATACATCGAATCCGGATATGACGGCGACACATATGCGGAACGAAGTTTACAGGAACAATGTGTATAAATGACGAACGCTGTACATTTTCCGTCTGTCTGGATACATTTGACCACAAGTTTGATACCTTACTAATTCAATCCCCTCAGTTTGTGATCGCATTTCAACGGAATTGGCCAAAAAAAACTATAGCCGATGTTCGATCGATACTTTTGCAATTTAAAAAAGAAGTTTGGGAAACGTCGTATTAACTGTTTTGACATCTGTTGTCGGAACGACTTCTAAAACTTTGCATGAGTGATGTACAATTGCCAAACAGAGGTACAAATTGTGAAAAATATTTGACAAAGTTCGCACCAGTCTTACGAGTTACAGTTTCATTTTAAATTTGACAGATCACTTACAAATGCCAAGTCAATGCCACTACAACAAATTCTATGATATAATTTTGAAGTGTGTTTGAGTAGTACAAATACTAAGTCAGGGTCGAAATGGTGCAGCTTGACGAAGACTCCAGTATACGCTCCTACACGTTGGTAGCAAGACTGCACATGAACTTGGCATTTTAGCGTTGGTGCCAACAACACTAGTCGGCCATTTTCCGGCACTAAACACTGCAGAAGATCCTTCTCGTTGGATTACATCAAGATCGAATGCTTCGGACTAATCTATCCTTGATGACCCGTCTGGTGCAATTTCGTAGCTAAAATGGATAACTTTGTCATACGTCTCGCCTACTTTAAGGACAAAGATGTGCTATGTTACGCGAAGGAACCTGTGATGTCTATGATAAACAAGTGTTGAAGAGAACTCTCGGCTTCTTCGCTTTGCAGCAATCCTTGATGACAGGCTGCTCAAGATAGCACGCACGCTTAAGAGACATGACTGACGAGAGAAGGGAGAGGCTAGTAGCGAATACTTCAATTAGTGCGCAAACTGCTTTTATCACCTTACCGAACGCTCGTTACGACTACCACAAGTCCAACGAACTACCAGGACGCTGCACTCGTGTGACAGGTATTCAGCTGTGCATTTAGTTCATTGAATTTCTCAAACAAGGCCGGTTCTTCAGCACCAACATTAGACTGTCTTTTTGGCTAATTCACGTCACACGTCCGAGGAAAAAGGTCTCACTAGGTACCAGGTCAAGATGCATTCGACAAGGTCCAATTGACACCCTTGCATTTGTCAGCTCTTGCAGTCTACTCCACGCATCCCGCTATAGCTCCAGATCACATCGTATAAAAGATTTAGCAGAGCCCGCGATACAGCTTCGATCCCGCTTATTGACCGGCAAGAAATTGGTGCTCTGTCCAAGCTTAATTTGCACGCATGAAGGCTTTGTGTTCCCGCCACCGCTCTCGATCCAGGATTCTGTAGTTACGTCGAACGAATTTCAGGAATGTGTCAAAGACGGCAAGTGTAGAGCACGACTTGACATCCTACTCGTTCAGGTGTAGAGACTAAACACGCGAATGGTGATCGATAGTCGAGCGCACATTAGGTGTTCGACCGCTTCGTATGAAATCTCAAAACGACAAACAAATAATTTCGCGCGTCTTTTCTGCGAATGACGGAAGATCCCGCGCGTTTTTTTAGTGCTTGGAAAGCAAACGAGAACTATTTGCAGCATAGCTATGTGTTTTCGATAACTTCACTCGAGCGAGGATAGCAAGGGGGCCAGACGCACATGTTCAGCACATTTAGCAACCGCCGGAGTAGTAACTATTGTGCAATTAATCACCTTCACGGCCACGCTGTATACTGGCTTCACCACTACTCGCGATTTGATTTACATAACGCAAATTGTCCAGTATGCAAGCGTTACGAGGAACAAGTGCTCGCTGAGAAGTGTCAAAAATATAAAAATCGGGGTGGTCGATGAAGCCAGATCTCAAGCAGAGTATGTGGAAAATGATAAAAAACTGAAAACAAGGTCAACCTAGTAGCACGAGAAACATGAAGAGATCATAAAGTGCCAAGGATCTGTGATTTGTGGGCTTATCGAGATGAACCAGCGCTGTGGGGAGCGAGTTACTGTCGAATCTTAGTTAAAAAGTATGGATAGCCAGTGGGATTTCGCAACATTTTGGAATATATCTAAGTGATGACAAGATAAATAAGTAAGATCCCATTTATCAGTAGTATTAAGTGTAATATCTTTTCTCGATGGATTATAAAAAGAATGGTACCTACGCAAGCCACATCTTTGTAATGTTTTTTTAGAAGACTAGCTCTTGGAATACGAATATTGCCTTCATCGACCACTAGTTCTTGGAATACATCTATCGCCTTCATCGACATCACTTGGTACAGGACTATCGTCTTCATATAGCTATATGCTGACGATGGGTTCACCATCATGTGCGATGGTGAAGAGTTAAATTTCAGCAGCGATGGGTTATGGAGAACGTGGTGAAGCTACACAGCTCTTGGACATAGAAAGACTTTAGACTCTAGAAGTCACTTAGTTCTACGGCACTAAGTCCCTATTAATTTAAACATTCTAGAGTTCTTAGAACTAACCAACAAAGACTCGGGCAGCCTTCAAGCTTGTAGAGCTTCTATTCCTTGTTTAAGGGTCTAACGACGAATAAAAGAATTGTACGGCCGCGATGTGCTCTCGAGTATACGCAACAAGATGTCTCTCGTAACCTTAATCATTTACTGACGTCTGAACTGGACACGTGTCAATCGAAGATCAAACGAGGAACTCGACTTTAATTTCTTGGTTTTATCTGTTGTAAACCTGACACTCTTAGATCGCCGTGCACGGAGCAGAGATTGGACTGAAGAACCGGGCTAACTGTAGTCAACCTGCTGAAGCAAGCGCGTCAACAGCCGCGGCGGGTGGTGACCAAGTTGAAATAGACGGTACCTCTGGAGGGTGTAGGGGGGGCTCCACATGAGCTGTTCTCTCCAAAACCGGGGGGGGGCACGGTGAGTAATGGGTGGGACCCTCGACTCTGCGCCGCGGGGATGAGGTGACGAGTCCCTCAGCCGCAGCCCGCAGGTCGCGAGCGGATCCTGTGGAGGTGTTCTCGATACCGGGGAAGAAGGCGATCAAGGGGCTCATCCACGTGAGTGGTAGAAAATTTTCCCAGTGCGGGTAATCGGGTGGACGAAGATAAGTCTGCCCAGTTGAGTGGCCCAAAGACGACAGAGCCAATCGAAGAAGGGATACCAGCTTCAAGGGGTCTAAATTTTGGGCGGCCGGCCCGCGTAGGTGTAGGCGCGGAGGGCCCTGTGTCTGCGCAGTGGAGCGTAGACGTAACAGGTCCAAGCGGGCCCGGGATCGTTCTACCTCCGCAAATGAGTGACGAGCAGATACTTGCGGCGGTGAAGGCTGAACTCCGAGCCGCTCCACAGGCGGTTCGACGGGAGGCGTATGGACACTGTAGCAGCTTTGTTTGCGGCTGAGTTGGCAGCGCTGAACGTACCACCCAATCGAGTATCGCCGACGAAGCAGCGGTACCCGAAGTTGAACGGGGCAGAGTCGGCTCAGCTACTAGAATTACAGAAGAATTCAGCGTCGTGGATGGTTGCATTTATGCCCAATGGTGTAAGCACGCCCGCGGAATATGTCGGGATTTCTACAGTTGTTCCTGGTCTTTATCCACCATTCTTGAGAGCAATACCAGCAAAGTCAAGTGGGCAAGGAAACCTGTGTTGAATCAAGGGGCAGCAAAAGTAACGGATATCCAGTCGTCCAGTCAATCTGCTGACACAGCCCACGGACTGAACATTACCAAATGTTTTTGTTTAATCCATGTAAGTGTGCGGCGGAATAAATTGAGCGGCTGAGGGCAATATGTGCGTCGTCTTCAAGACAGATCGGGCCCGCGCCTCCGAACGGGGACGCACGATGAGTGGAAGATCATCCAGGGGATGGCATAGGGACAAATTGTCAGACGGGGACTGCCACACATTTTTAAGTAAATTTTACTGTGAAGGATCGTTTGCGGTTTCAGACAACACTTCAGCTGCAGGTGGGGAACGAATTGTCCTTTTCTACCTTAGGTGCTGAAACCATAAAAATTAGCCAACAGTATACTCAAGCGTTGAAAGAAGACATGTTGCTGGCTGCGGAAGGATAAAAAGTAAACCTATAGAACCTCCATGTGATGCTGAGTCAAGTCAAGACTATCAGACATAACAAGGGCCAACGGTCCGTCCATTTAGTTTTCTTTACACGTACTGCGGAGAAGAAATTCCAGCGCACGGTAGTTTTAGACGCCGTCCGTACCGGCTTTACAACTCTCCTGCTCCAAGCGTAGGTCAGCGTGGAACCGACAGATTAAATCCGACGACCCCGACTAACGGCTGTAACAGAAAACGTCGTCTTGCTGTATAACGTCACACGTATTATGGACATCGGGCGGCTAACCGCTTTTTGTCACAGAGCACATAGTGCTGAGGTGGAGCTGGAGAACTTGGACGCGTGTACACCCAACTCTCGCACCTCCACGGTATGAAAATTAACAATCCAGTTGGCCGGTTGCCCCGAGTATCTTTGCGACATCGCGCGCAGCGGCTTGTACTGGACCTACATCGTTCTTAAGCATCCTGGGGTGGGGCGGCGGCTGTAGTGCTTGGGGTGCGGTGCTCTTGGCCACCCCATTCCAAGGTGTGGATATTCCGCCGAATTTTTTTATAGATTTGGGGGGGGTGTTTGCATCCGAAGGAGAAGTATTGGCTCTTAAGGATCTCGCTGTTCCATTTTACAGCTTTGAAGAGATGAAGGATGTGGAAACTCAACGAATCTGTCTCCAGAACCAAGCTGATAGGGTGGCAGAGTCTCCGGTTAAGCCACTCAAGGTGCACGTCCGCGTGAAAGAACAAGGTTCGGCTCCTACGGATATAAAAAATTCTACAAGTGTACAGGGTATCAGCTCACGTATCAGCGGCGGGACATTTTAACCGGTGCTCTCGGTGAGTCCCGATGTCGTACACATCCCAGCTCCAAAACTACTCTGGGTCACGGTGTCGCGACGAGGTCGCACGAACCGGCGTGGAACCATTCAAGCAGTTTTTACCCGTCGGGCTACTGTGTCCACCCACGACGCAGCCTTCACCAAAACGGAAGAGGAGTTGTGTACTACAGGAAAAACGGTGACGGCGGGGACTACCTCGCGGAGCGACGAAAGAGGTTTGCTGTGCGAGAGGTAGAACCGCTATCTGCGCCTGTTCAGAGCTCAAAGGTGCAGCTGCGCATTTGAAAACTCCACCACCCTAAGTGCCGGGTACGCCTCAGTAGGTAGCTTTGACGCAAAAGGAACGTGCTGAAGCTCGAAGACCGCTTCAGGAAGCGGACAGCCCAAACAACAGCTTTTGGAGATGCCCGCTGCGACGGAATTGGCATACCTTACGGAATATTCGATTCGACGAGTGCTGCAATTGTGGCACGCCGCCACGCCAGCGACAGAGAATTGTCTGGAGCTTGCGTTAATACGAGCACTGGCCAACGACGACCTGGTTTAACAGGAGACAATACTGCATTGCTCTGCGTCGTGTGTGAACCGAGGGTTTAAATACACAGGTCAACTGCACATGACAAATCAATTTGACCATGCGGAGCGGCTGAAACCCCTGGTAAATGTGCGGCGAGGGTGGATGTCCATGTCCACTACAGAGTAGGCTGAATAAATTAAATGGCATCTGGAAGAATACGTCGCCGGCCTCACGAATAGGTTAACGCCGGTCGGTCATTATAACTGGGGAGTAAATACCATGCTTCTTACGGCAGCCAATTTTTGCAGCGAGTTATTTACGTGATCGGGCGGCCAATTGAGTTATACAACTCATTGCAGTGCTGCGTATACAGGCCAAGCTGATGACCAAGGGTAACATGATTATTGCGACAGGTAATCAGCCCATATTGACTGTATCAGATTGTGCCTAGATGACAGCGACAGCAAAAAGAGCGGACCCGATGAATTTCCCTCTTATACTCAGGTACACATACCACTACTATTCGGCCTACGTTCACTGCACGCTACCTGGTCCACACTGTAACGGGGCACCCTGAAGCTTGTACTGGTGACAGTACAAGCTACTCATTCTGATAACAGAATAAGGCGGTGCCTCGTAACTTCACGTACACTCGTACGTGCAGAGGAAGACGGTAAGAAGAAGCGAGTACTCGGTTAGAGTAAAAAGTAGAACTGTATTTATAATAGTTAATGTCTGCAATAAATCACTATTTATCTTCATCTAACTATGTCTAAATACAAATGTGTAAATCAGTTATCTGCTCACCACTCATTGCGTGCGTCTGTCGTGGCGCGTCTTCGTTGGTTGATATAATGGCCTATATCAACCAATTAGGAACTACTTGGAAGTGCTACAGAATATTGTCCTTATGACAATATTCTGAGAATATAACTCTTATAGTTATATTCTATTAACAATTTCTTATAAATTGTTATGTAACGATTCACCCCGTTACATCACCCCCCTTAACCATCAGTCACTTTAGTGACTGATTGACTAAATGGATACTCGTCCCAAATCATTTGGGACGGGGTTTGCACTTGTTGGTCCGCGTCCACTTTCCAACATCTCATCGCATGGTAAACAAGCCCATGCGATGCGCGAGCAAGGCCGCCGAGAGCGCGTCTGCACGTCTCTGTGCGGACGCCGAAGCAGAAACTACAGCAACTGATATCCCATCGGTTGCTGAATCGACTCAGCCTGTATCACCTGGTGATGCAGGCGCTGGTCATGAAGACACTCGTGTCTTCACAGAGTACGAGCTCGGTGTCTCGTACTCTCCTGATACGGATGACGGATCCGTATCGACGGCAATTGAATCCAAGCCGCCTGCCAAGCGTGGCATGGACGATGCTTTGCGTCGCAGCATCTTTGGTTCATCTGATGAGTCAGATGAACCATCGCCGAAGCGAAGGCGCTCGAGGTCGCGAGACTCGGGCGCTAATAGTGGTGTCGTTTCTCCAATGGACACCACTTCACAGCGAGGTGCCAGTACTTCTGTCGGCACGTCGCAGGAAGAGCGGGACCGCAATGTGTTGCGTCTCGCTCCAGAAAAGAAGGCATGGATGCCTCCTAAATCTGTCATGGATCACTTGTCGGCGACGACGAGTGATCGTTATCGAACACGATTGTTCGATTCGTCAAGGATCCATCACCTTGACCCCAGCGCGAAAGACTATCGCGCTGAACATGAGTTCTTCATCGATGCTTTCTTCAGACATCGATGGTACAGTGGGAATCACAAACGTGATGGTCCCTCACTACTTCAGGCGTGGAACGCCTACATCCATAATCTCGAGGATGTAGGTCGTGACGCTTGGAACGACAAACTTATCAAAGCTCGTGATAAGTTTGAAAAGCGAACCCCGACAGGTGCACGCTATAAGCTGCATCGTCTGTCAAGGGAGAAAGGATTACCCTGCCTCTCTTGGGGAGACTCGTGCCCATGTTGTGTGAACAACTCTGCACGAGCACCTAAGGAGGCTTACCTCCTTACCAGCCCGTGGTGGCGCGTACGTGTCTCTACTGAGATGTACGAAGGGATTGACAACCTGAAATCCCTTTACGACCGTGCCGGGAAGACTTTCTCCGGCGGTCCTTCTGCGGCACAGGATGTGTCGCGTCGTACTGCTCGACCAGACCCAGTACGTCAACCATCAATTGGGAGCGGGGCTCCCAAGAATCCCAGGACGGGGGATAGCCGCGCCACCGGACGAGGTAACTCGTCCGACGTCCGTTCACGTCGCGGTGGTTCAACAGCTGCTCTACTAGATAGCGCTGGCCACCGCGAGAGTCCTCTAATGGAGGTGGAGGAGGAGGAAAGACGCTCTCCACACGATCATGTGGATCGGTGTGTTCCCGAGAGCTTCTTTGATCGCGTAACGCAAGGGTTACGCGACGATCTCGAGCATGAGCGGAATAGGCGTCTCCAGATGGTGGACACTGCCTCGAAGCATCGAGCTGAGTTTGCCTTTGCTCAGCTTGAGAACGAGAGATCTCTGACATCTCTTCGTGACGAGCTAAGGGTAGCTCGTGGGATTGTTGATCGGTCTCGGGCTGAGATAACTGCTCTTCAGACCCTTGTTGATGCCCACCATCGGGAGCACAAGGCTCTCTGCGAGATGCTTGAGCGCAAGGGCGTTCTTCATCGGAAGAAGCAGCGTACTGATGGTACGGCTTAAGCCGACCAACGTAAAACGTGGGATGCGTTCGCATCTTACGTGGTAACTCGATCGTGTATGCATTGCCTAGGCGGTGCAATACACGAAATGGGCCAATGTACTTGGGTAGTAGTTTACTGCTACCCAAGTTAGTCACTACATGTTTTGGTAGATTAACCGTAGACAGTAGGACTAAGTCACCTTTATTAAATAAAAGAGTGTTTGCCCTTCCATTCTTGTCAGCGTTTTGCTTTTGCCTATCCACCGCTTCGGCGATGGAGTCTTGCACAAAAACGGACTACCGTTTCACGAGCCAGTATGAACTCATCTGATGACTCGTTAGCTTCAGTGTGCTGTGAGCGCACTGCAGCAACAACAACCTTTTCTTCAGTGAGGGCTTCCGCACTCTCACTGGCATCATTGTCTTCAGTGAGGGCTTCCGCACTCTCACTGGCATCATCTTCTTCGATATCGATGTTATCGATATCGGCATCAAACGCAATGACTTCCTCGTCAGAGCGTGATGAGCGTGAACCAAATCGGTTTTTGCTCGCGCGAGTCCCTCCCCCCCTTAAACCAGAGTTACACTCTAGTAAGGTGGGTACACGCGGATGGCGCAAGCCATTCACGTAAAACGGTGTATGCGTCGTGGACGCATGCAACGAGTTGTTGATGGCAAACTCTACCATCGGCAAAAACTCACTCCAACTTTTAAAGGAGTGTACGTATCCTCGAAGTATCTCTTCGAGGACACGGTTGGCACGTTCCGTCTGACCATCTGACTCTGGATGATCAGATGTTGACATCTTCAAGCGCGTTCCGAGTGATTTGAACACGGAACGCCAGAAATCAGCAGTGAATCGTGGATCTCTGTCTGATACGAGTTCACGGGGCAACCCATGAAGTCGGAAGATGGTGTCAATAAAGACACAAGCACAGCCACTTGCCGTGATTGTCTCTGGTACAGCCACAAGGTGTACCATTTTGCTGAATCTGTCAACAAATACGAGAATACCCGTATTCCCGCGTGCGTCTTTGGGTAACCCGAAGACGAAATCCATTGAGATGGATTCCCAGCACTCAGCCGGAACCGGTAGAGGCTGTAAAGGTGCACGCAGTGAAGGACTTGACTTCACTCGTTGGCAGACTTCGCATGCGCGAACATACTTTCGCACAAACTGATACTGGCGGGGCCAGTAAAAGTCTCGACTTACCGTGAGATATGTTTTCTCTCGGCCACGATGTCCTCCTATAGGAGCATCGTGATACTCGAACATGATCCGCAAACGCAGATCAGTATCATCTGGAATGACAACACGTGGTGTGTCACCAGAAACGGCTGTATAGTACAGTAAACCGTTACGAGTAGTGTATCGATCTGATGCAGATCGATACGCAGACGACAATCGTTTCAACGATTCTCGAGATGGTTGGGAGAGATGTGACAACAACTTCACTATCTCACCATCTTGGGCGTATGCCCGCCTCACATCATCATACAACGTTGTAGATGGAACTGAGGACGTCATAACCGCAACAGTGACTGTCTCACTGTTGGGTTTCGCGACTGTTTCAAAGTCGGGACGACGTGAGAGTGCATCAGCGACGACATTAAGTCGTCCTGGTTTGTACTCGACCGTAAAGTTGTATTCTGCAAAGAATGACAACCACCGCGCCATTCGTTGTGAAAGGTGCGGGCTGTTCACTGCCGTGCGTAAGGACGCATGGTCAGTGTAAACAACGAAGGGTCTATCTCCTAATAGATAGACTCTGAACTTCGCGAGTGCATACTTCATGGCAAGGAGTTCCTTGTCATGCACTGGATAGTTCCGCTCAGCTGGTTGCAGCTGACGCGACTGATAGCAGACGACGCGTTCAACGCCTTCAAGGTCGTACTGCATTAATGCACAGCCGATTGCGAAATCGCTGGCATCACAGACCACATGAAATGGCCTGTCCTGATCGGCTATTGCTAGGACTGGGGATTGTATCAAGCTCTGCTTGATACCCTCAAAGGAGCGTTGACATTCAGCGTTCCATAACCACCTCTCGTTCTTTTTCAACAAACGAGAGAGGTGTACAGTCATCTCGGCGTAATTGCGTGAGTACTTATGCAAATACGCCGCTAGCCCAAGGAATTTTCGAAGACCTTTGACATCGACCGGCACGGGCCAGTCGGTGATCGCCTTGATCTTTTCGGGATCAGGACGTACACCGTTCTTACCAACGATGCACCCAAGAAGTGGTATTTCGCTTGCTGCAAATATACACTTCTTGAGGTTAGCATACAATTGATGCTTTCGCATGATTGTAAGAACCTGTCGGACGTGGTACCTGTGAACCTCAACGTCCGACTTTCCATCCATAGCTCGACTATGGATGAATACGTCATCGAAATAACTCGGCGCGAATTCTCGTACTGGCCTCAACAGATGTGATACACACCTGTTGAACGTGGCAGGGGCATTACTGAGCCCTTGTGGCATTACTAGCCATTCCCAGAGCATGCCGCTAGGCGTGCTAACTGCGGTATAGGGTATATCCCGTTCCCGCATTAGGATTTGATAGAAGCCATCCATCAAATCCATGGACGAAAAGATGGTACTCTTTGACATACCATCAATGATTACGTCCTTCCTCGGTATCGGCGTCTGAGCCGGTACCGTTGCAGCGTTCAATTTGTTGAACGCGTGCACTATCCGCCACCCTCCTGTTGCTTTTCGCACACAGAAGGTCGGAGAGCTATGTGGGGAAGTTGATTCCCTCACATGGCCCGCTGCTAAACGATCGGCAAAGAACTTGTCGATCGCAAGTACTTGTTCACGAGGCAGTGGCCACTGCTTCATGACACAGTACTTCGAGCCTGGTTTAAGCTCGACTTCGTGTCGAATACCTTTATCCTTCGGTAATTCGCACGGAACAGTTTCAGGGAATACATCCTTGAATTCAACCAAATCTTCATAGAGAGGATTTTCCTTGAGCGATTCCCATGATTGGGACTCATATCGCTCAATTCGTGTCTTTTCATCTAGGACACTCTCGTCCATAGATGAACTACTGAGAACTCTCTCGTTCTCAGTAAACACTGTTGCTGACCTTATGTCGGTTACATACTCGTCGTCAGCGACGAGTATGCAGATCTGCTTGACTTTGCCACTACGCAGATCACGCAAGAATCTTTTATGTTCGAGCGTTGGCAACTGAGTGATCTCCGAAGTTAACTTCGATGGCGCAATCAGATCAAGTGTATAAGCGCCTACACATGATCCGTTATTGACTATGACATTCAATGTCTCTGTCATTTCCTGGGGACTTATTCCCTCAGGCTTCGAAGGACTTATTCCTTCGTCTTCCCGGGGACTTATTCCCGCGGGTTTCGGGGAACTTATTTCCGCCGTATTTGTAATCTTGGGACTTATTCCCTTTACTTCCTCTAGCTGGGGTTGCGCAACCACAGCGAGATCCTCTACGAAAGACTCTCCAGTCGATCTAGGATTATCGTTTCGCTTAACCTGAGCGATCGATTGTTTCTCTTCTAGATGTTCCCCGCTAGGGATACATCTTTGTCCCAGTCCACCCGACTTATTCGAGTGGTGGACCTTCGGCGCAGCCTGTGTTTCCTCACAGCCGCCGGAACTTTGCTCCGAAGTGTAACCGTTTGGTACACTAAGGTTTTGTGCAGTCGTACTAACGACCGTACCACAAGTGAGGCCATCGCACTCACTCGTAGTACATCCACACGCTTGTGGACGCTCCAAAACGTTCATCAGATGGCCATCTGATGAACAAGCGGCAGGCATCGTTACTGTCCGATGTTGCCAGTTTACCCGTGGTTCGTACCTTCTGAGCCACGGTATTCCAAGGATGACATCAAATTTGTCATCCAAATCCAATACGATAAAGTCATCGTCGTATTGGGTATCTTCTAGCGTATAGTGAATCTTCACTATACGCTTCATGACGGTTACGGATGCGCCTGTCGCAAGACGTACCGTCATCCTCGTAGGAGGTGTGTCACATTCACTGAATTTAAAGTGACCATCTTCTAGCGATTGGCGTCGCACAAAATTGTTGGACGCCCCACAATCGACTAGAGCTCGAAGGGACAACTTATTCGTCACTTCGAGTTTCAAGGTAATGAGTGAGATCTCATTACCTAGAGCAGCAACGCACAATGTCTGTGTGTTGGGAGCAACCTTCATCAAGAGGCCTACAAATTCTCTTGACGTTGCTGGATCAGTAGGGTGCTCCGCACCTACTGATCCTGTCCGTTTTTTGACGGTCCATCCCGTTGTTGCGTCTTTGCACCAACTGCGGACCCTCGTCCCTGCCCCTTTCTCATGGGTGGACGGTCACTACGCCCAGTGTCGCGAGACACTGGACGAGGGGCACTACACTCGTAAGCGTAGTGTCCTGTCTTTTGACATCTGTTGCATCTCTGCAACTTCTTGTAGCCTGTAGAGCGAGCCTTCTCGCTCTCTACATAACAGAGTTCCATCGGCTCTGGACCTCCGTTGTCATATCGTCTCGGTTGACGATATGATGTCGAGCTGGCGCGAGCCTGTCTCAGACTGAAGTCTTCCTGCTCCGCAATGGAAATGGCTTGTTCTAGTGAATCTAGTTCAAGCCGGAACAGGTGAGTCTTGACGGGACCATCCGCAAGACCCTGCATGAACACCGAAACCAACGTGTGTTCATCCACCGGATTGGAACTTATACAACTCGTGAGATGTCGTATATGTTGAGCGTAAGCGTGCACATCACGCTTACCCTGCTTGAGCTTCAAGAGTTCGGTTCGAGCTCTGAACTCAGCTCTAGGCGGTTCAAACGTTTGTCTGAGCCGCGACTTGAAGACTTCCAACGACCCAAACGCATATGGGTCGTGCAGCTTGAGCCCCAGTGCCCAAGTCTTGGCACGTCCTGCCAGATTTGACTGGGCAAATGCAACTTGCATATCCCCGTCGTCGATGCGACGCGCCCTTATAGCGTCGTCCAATTCGACGAACCATCTCAAGAGGGAGTCTTCTTCGACCCCCCTATACTTTGAGATGTCAATCTTCAAAGTCTCGGGCCGACGCGAGTGCATCGACCCGCCAGCAGCAGCCTGCTGCTGTCTCAACAGTTCAAACTGTTGAGCACCTTGTTCTCTCAACAACTCTGCTTGTTGAGAACCTTGTTGGTGAAGCAAGGCTACTTTCTCGCGTTCTGCGTCAAGTTCATTTTGAATGAACTTGGCGATAGTAGCATGTTGGGCATCTCTATTGAGAGCCTCTAGCATGACGCTAACAGCATGGATGCCCATGGTTGAACCCATTCGTTCAACCGCATCCCATTCGACATCGCTCAAATGGGAGTAGCCGTCACGCGTAGCGTGAAAGCTTTGGTCATTTCTTCATCATCCAACATATTCATGTTGGATGTGAACGCGGTCCTTGGACGGACTACGAAGTGCTACCAGGTGTAACGGGGCACCCTGAAGCTTGTACTGGTGACAGTACAAGCTACTTATTCTGATAACAGAATAAGGCGGTGCCTCGTAACTTCACGTACACTCGTACGTGCAGAGGAAGACGGTAAGAAGAAGCGAGTACTCGGTTAGAGTAAAAAGTAGAACTGTATTTATAATAGTTAATGTCTGCAATAAATCACTATTTATCTTCATCTAACTATGTCTAAATACAAATGTGTAAATCAGTTATCTGCTCACCACTCATTGCGTGCGTCTGTCGTGGCGCGTCTTCGTTGGTTGATATAATGGCCTATATCAACCAATTAGGAACTACTTGGAAGTGCTACAGAATATTGTCCTTATGACAATATTCTGAGAATATAACTCTTATAGTTATATTCTATTAACAATTTCTTATAAATTGTTATGTAACGATTCACCCCGTTACACACACGACTCTGGAGTAATGGCGGATGACGGCAGCGGTGAGGACATGGATATTTCGCAAGATGAGATCAGTGATGAGGAGATGAAAGGAGAAGACGATGGTCCGGCAGGGGTGGTCGGTGCTGCCGTTTGGCCTCGCTGGGAGGGTGACATCAACAAGCTGTCGACCAGCCTAGCGGCCGGTGACATAACATACACATTGCGCCGAGAAATTTGGTTAGTTCTCCGGTTCTCGGCGTCTTCCCGGTTTCCCGCACTTCTCGACTTTTTGGTGAATTCGGCGGTCGTCAGCTCTGCGGACACCCAGCTTCGCTTAATGGATACAATCCTTTTGCAGACCAACCCGGCGGTAACACAGCGGCTACAACTGGGCTATTAAATACCGGATACGGTGATGATACAATGGCACTCTTGGGTGGCCGAGCAAGCGGCTCATTCCGAAGTCATAGGTGATGACACGGGTATCCAGCAGTCGCAGGGTCCTGATCCTAGCGGTAAAATACGGAAGAACGTCCTCGCGAACAGTAGCGCTGACATTTTTCATACACATTCGCTACCAGAACTGCCATCACCGGGGTCTACGTATTTAAGGATCGATCCAGTCCAGGCGTTGGTGGTGCCGTCGGGTGGTAATGGAAATGCCAGAATGTAATTCGTCATCAGACCACTACACTGGTTACTTAACGTGATGAGCGAGCTATGCAGCCGTTGCTTCTTTACAGCGGGCGGTCCAGCACTTTACTGATCGAAGAATCTAGGTCCTGGCAGAACATGTGGCAAGACTTTGATTTGGAGTGGCCGAGGACAGCACTTTAAGGGTTTCCAACGGTGGATACCAGTAACATTAACTGGAACAAGGTGGCTTGAAAGGAAATGGGGCGTCTTTTTACCATGGTTCGACGCTTCCCTAATAAGAGCCAACTCCTGCAGGTTTTGAGCGACGAAATCCTCGAGGCGTGGTCCGCGGTATGGCGACAAGAATGTATGTATGATCGTCTCGACACGTATCGAGAAAGGGCGTCCGACCATGGCACTAAAGATGGCTTGATGATCGGAGGAAAAGATTCTCGTGCCAATTAGCCCGGTCCTCACTATCGCTTTTCATCGATATTCGGATAATTGGCGGAGGTTAAAGTACAGCGGATACGATGGAGACGAAATTCTCCGATGGTGTGATGTACCCCAACAGGGGAAATTAACACTTCAACTCCTCTGTGTGCTACTATACAATGCCTATTAGAATCGCTACGGGGACTTGGCAGGGATGCCCTTTGGCTCCATTACTGTTCATCCTGGCAGCGGAAGTGCTGTCGTTAGCGACCACACAAGATCGCGAGCTCTAGGGAATCGAGGTTCCTGGGACACACGATGAGCGATATACCTTTTTCGCATTGTCGATGACTCCACTGTTTCTCTTCAGTAAGCGAGCAGTCTTCCACGCGTCCTCGACATCGTCGCAGCTTTCTGGCGGTTATCGGGGCTCACTGTGCAGCCAACAGAAATTCAGATCATCTTTCTAAATACGGCAGTGGCTCTGCCTGTAACGGGGCACCCTGAAGCTTGTACTGATGACAGTACAAGCTACTTATTCTGATGACAGAATAAGGCGGTGCCTCGTGACTTCACGTACACTCGTACGTGCAGAGGAAGACGGTAAGAAGAAGCGAGTACTTGGTTAAAGTAAAAAGTAGAACTGTATTTATAATAGTTAATGTCTGCAATAAATCACTATTTATCTTCATCTAACTATGTCTAAATACAAATGTGTAAATCAGTTATCTGCTCACCACTCATTGCGTGCGTCTGTCGTGGCGCGTCTTCGTTGGTTGATATAATGGCCTATATCAACCAATTAGGAACTACTCGTAAGTGCTACAGAATATTTGTCCTTATGACAATATTCTGAGAATATAACTCTTATAGTTATATTCTATAAACAATTTCTTATAAATTGTTATGTAACGATTCACCCCGTTACATCACCCCCCCCTTAACCATCAGTCACTTTAGTGACTGATTGACTAAATGGATACTCGTCCCAAATCATTTGGGACAGATTTGCACTTGTTGGTCCGAGTCCACTTTCCAACAATTCATCGCATGGTTAACAAGCCCATGCGATGCGCGAGCAAGGCCGCCGAGAGCGCGTCCGCACGTCTCTGTGCGGACGCCGAAGCAGAAACCACAGCAACTGATGTCTCATCGGTAGCTGAAGCGACTCAGCCTGTGTTACTTGGTGATGCAGGCGCTAGTCATGAAGACACTCATGTCTTCACAGAGTATGAGCTCGGTGTCTCATACTCTCCTGATACGGAAGACGGATCCGTATCGACGGCGATTGAATCCAAGCCGCCTGCCAAGCGTGGCATGGATGATGCTTTGCGTCGCAGCATCTTTGGTTCATCTGATGAATCAGATGAACCATCGCCGAAGCGAAGGCGCTCGAGGTCGCGAGACTCGGGCGCTAACAGTGGTGTCGGTTCTCCTATTGACACCACTTCACAGCGAGGTGCCAGTACTTCTGTCGGCACGTCGCAGGAAGAGCGGGACCGCAATGTGTTGCGTCTCGCTCCCGAAATGAAGGCATGGGTGCCTCCAAAATCCGTCATGGATCACTTGTCGGCGACGACGAGTGATCGTTATCGAACACAGTTGTTCGATTCGTCAAGGATCCATCACCTTGACCCCAGTGCGAAAAACTATCGCGCTGAACATGAATTCTTCATCGATGCTTTCTTCAAACATCGATGGTACAGTGGGAATCACAAACGTGATGGTCCCTCACTGCTTCAAGCGTGTAACGCCTACATCCATAACCTCGAGGATGTAGGTCGTGACGCTTGGAACGACAAACTTATCAAAGCTCGTGATAAGTTTGAAAAGCGAACCCCGACAGGTGCACGCTATAAGCTGCATCGTCTGTCAAGGGAGAAAGGATTACCCTGCCTCTCTTGGGGAGACTCGTGCCCATGTTGTGTGAACAACTCTGCACGAGCACCTAAGGAGGCTTACCTCCTTACTAGCCCGTGGTGGCGCGTACGTGTCTCTACTGAGATGTACGAAGGGATTGACAACCTGAAATCCCTTTACGACCGTGCCGGGAAGACTTTCTCCGGCGGTCCTTCTGCGGCACAGGATGTGTCGCGTCGTACTGCTCGACCAGACCCAGTACGTCAACCATCAATTGGGAGCGGGGCTCCCAAGAATCCCAGGACGGGGGATAGCCGCGCCACCGGACGAGGTAACTCGTCCGACGTCCGTTCACGTCGCGGTGGTTCAACAGCTGCTCTACTAGATAGCGCTGGCCACCGCGAGAGTCCTCTAATGGAGGTGGAGGAGGAGGAAAGACGCTCTCCACACGATCATGTGGATCGGTGTGTTCCCGAGAGCTTCTTTGATCGCGTAACGCAAGGGTTACGCGACGATCTCGAGCATGAGCGAAATAGGCGTCTCCAGATGGTGGACACTGCCTCGAAGCATCGAGCTGAGTTTGCCTTTGCTCAGCTTGAGAACGAGAGATCTCTGACATCTCTTCGTGACGAGCTAAGGGTAGCTCGTGGGATTGTTGATCGGTCTCGGGATGAGATAAATGCTCTTCAGACCCTTGTCGATGCCCACCATCGAGAGCACAAGGCTCTCTGCGAGATGCTTGAGCGCAAGGGCGTTCTTCATCGGAAGAAGCAGCGTACTGGTGGTACGGCTTAAGCCGACCAACGTAAAACGTGGGATGCGTTCGCATCTTACGTGGCAACTCGATCGTGTATGCATTGCCTAGGCGGTGCAATACACGAAATGGGCCAATGTACTTGGGTAGTAGTTTACTGCTACCCATGTTAGTCACTACATGCTTTGGTAGATTAACCGTAGACAGTAGGACTAAGTCACCTTTATTAAATAAAAGAGTGTTTGCCCTTCCATTCTTGTCAGCGTTTTGCTTTTGCCTATCCACCGCTTCGGCGATGGAATCTTGCACAAAACGGACTACCATTTCACGAGCCAGTATGAACTCATCTGATGACTCGTTAGCTTCAGTGTGCTGTGAGCGCACTGCAGCGACAACAACCTTTTCTTCAGTGAGGGCTTCCGCACTCTCACTGGGATCATTGTCTTCAGTGAGGGCTTCCGCACTCTCACTGGCATCATCTTCTTCGATATCGATGTTATCGATATCGGCATCAAACGCAATGACTTCTTCGTCAGAGCGTGATGAGCGTGAACCAAATCGGTTTTTGCTCGCGCGAGTCCCTCCCCCCCTTAAACCAGAGTCACACTCTAGTAATGTGGGTACACGCGGATGGCGTAAGCCATTCACGTAAAACGGTGTATGTGTCGTGGACGCATGCACCGAGTTGTTAATGGCAAACTCTACCATCGGCAAAAACTCACTCCAACTCTTAAAGGAGTGTACGTATCCTCGAAGTATCTCTTCGAGGACACGATTGGCACGTTCTGTCTGACCATCTGACTCTGGATGATCAGATGTAGACATCTTCAAGCGCGTTCCGAGTGATTTGAACGCGGAACGCCAGAAATCAGCAGTGAATCGTGGATCTCTGTCTGATACGAGTTCACGTGGCAACCCATGAAGTCGGAAGATGGTGTCGATAAAGACACAAGCACAGCCACTTGCTGTGATTGACTCTGGTACAGCCACAAGGTGTACCATTTTGCTGAATCTGTCAACAAAAACGAGAATACCCGTATTCCCGCGTGCGTCTTTGGGTAACCCAAAGGCAAAATCCATTGAGATGGATTCCCAGCACTCAGCCGGAACCGGTAGAGGCTGTAAAGGTGCACGCAGTGAAGGACTTGACTTCACTCGTTGACAGACTTCGCATGCGCGAATGTACTTGCGCACAAACTGATTATGGCGGGGCCAGTAAAAGTCTCGACTCACCGTGAGATATGTTTTCTCTCGGCCACGATGTTCTCCTATATGAGCATCGTGATACTCGAACATGATCCGCAAACGCAGATCAGTATCATCTGGAATGACAACACGTGGTGTGTCACCAGAAACGGCTGTATAGTACAGTAACCCGTTGCGAGTAGTGTATCGATCTGATGCAGATCGATACGCAGGCGACAATCGTTTCAACGATTCTCGAGATGGTTGGGAGAGATGTGTCAACAACTTCACTATCTCACCATCTTGGGCGTATGCCCGCCTCACATCATCATACAACGTTGTAGATGGAACTGAGGACGTCATAACCGCAACAGTGACTGTCTCACTGTTGGGTTTCGCGACTGTTTCAAAGTCGGGACGACGTGAGAGTGCATCAGCGACGACATTAAGTCGTCCTGGTTTGTACTCGACCGTAAAGTTGTATTCTGCAAAGAATGGCAACCACCGCGCCATTCGTTGTGAAAGGTGCG